TATGAACTCTTTAATTTTTTTAGTCCAACGCATGGTTTTCGCCTAAAAAATATTTGCATGGTGATATCGCCGTATTAACGATATCGTTATGATTATGCAGAGAAACGGTTTTTATTTTTTAAAAGCGAAAACCGTGGACTGAAAAGAGCAAGTCATCAAATTTGCTTAGACTTGTAATCACCAATCACAAGAATAATTTTGTTTTGAGAGTTGCGTACCTACAATGTTTGCCAAAATAGGCAGGTGAAATTCGGCACGAACGCCACTGGTTAAAATTAAAAAAAACTGTGGTACATAAACAATGCCTCTTCATGATAGTACATGTATGCCAAATCTCATTAAAATATCTAAAATGGAATTGCAGATCTTGATAATAAATAATTAATTTTTGAAAACTACCACCCTCTATCTCAAAAGTTAATACGTTTAGGCAATATGTTCATATTAAGTTTTACTCTTAAAATGGACCCAAATAATGACATTCAGTCAAGAAACACCCTGTATATTTTTGTAACGTAACTTTGCCCATTCTCTAAAGATTGATCTACTCTACTATGGCTAAAAGTTTTCAGAATAGCCTGTATTTGTATACTAATTTACTACAAAAGGCATCTTCATAGAATTATACTTAGTGGTTCCACTTATTGCCCATGGTTTCATGGTTACAGTCAAGTGCATGTTATGTTGTAGCTCCTAAAACTCTTCTCTTTATGAGAGCTGTAAAAAGCGAACAAAGTAATGGCTGTTATCTGAACCGCATTTTATTGAATAGCCAATAAACACATATTTATTTCCCACATGTGCACCACCGCCGAGACATTGTGTCAGAAGTAAATTTGTAGGGAGGCAAAAAGGAAATTGAAACAGTCGATCGAATTTTGTTATGGACGTGTGATATGATTTATATCGTATTATGCGTTTTCTCAAAATTTATCCACCGACCACAATATTGACTTCAGATTCGTAGTCAGCGTGAAATAGTACATGAAAAAAACTCTAAGCATTCACCACTTTATTTACTGGGCCTGTTATTGTATGGTATGAAGAAATGCTATCATAATATGATGCATATCATTTTTCATATTGATTCATCTCATAAGCATGCCGGAATACACGTATATCTACAACTTCATATGATTAATCGGAAAGGTCAAGACGTGGTCAGACACTTCTGATATGATTTTCTTGTTTTGATGACTCGTGTTGTATCTGTAGGCGTTTGGGATAATAACAAAAATTTACCAACTATATTTATAGGATTCTGACAAACTTTTCCAATTGATTAACGAATTCTACCTGAAGATAGCCAACAAGAAATGCTATCATAATATGATGCATATCATTTTTCATATTGATTCATCTCTTAAGCATGCCGGAATACACGTATATCTACAACTTCATATGATTAATCGGAAAGCTCAAGTCGTGGTCAGGCACTTCTGATATGATTTTCTTGTTTTGTTGACTCGTGTTGTATCTGCAGGAGTTTGGGATAATAACAAAAATTTGCCAACTATATAGGATTCTGACAAACTTTTTCCATTGATTAACGAATTCTACCTGAAGATAGCCAACCTAATGCTATATTCCTGCGTCCAAAAAATTATCCAATGAGAATTTGTATTTGTCACAGTTGTTTCTCTATTTACTACCTATATATATTTTGAAAATGTATAGATGGCGCCGGCTATATGCTCGTATATACTCATAATGTTGGCTACAGCGTCACCTATGAGACAACACTAACCTGATAAAAGTATACATGTATATACAATAAATAGAGAAACAGCTGTGACAAATTGTCTCAATTTCGTTTCATCTCGGATAACTTTTTGGACGCGGGAATATACCGCTAGGCTGGCTATCTTCTAGTAGAATACGTGAATGTTAATCAATGGCTAAGTCCAGCTACGAATTAGCATGGGCGCCCGCAGGAATATTTCTCATGGGCAAAATATGACTTCCTCTGAAAGTGTACCTGCCTTCAAATCTTTTTGAAGAGCGGGGGTAGAAAAAACATTTTTCCAAAGTTTAATAATAAAGTTACTCGGCAACAACAGGTCTAGAGGGAAATGAGACAGCTAACACTCTGGCAAAGCGTGGGGCTAGCACACCCTTCATAGTGTCTGAGCCAGCGATTGGGATCGCATACAATACGGCTAAACAAATAATAATCTCTGCAGAGTTGGACAGAAAGATCCATCAATACTGGTAGGGATTAGCGGGGTTAACCATAACTACACCAATCTTGACAAAGGTAACAGACTCTTCCGATTTGCTCATTCCAATACCTCGTCCACTGCACTTTGCAGCCTGTCGTGAACTAGATCCACAGAACACGACTGGGCCACCAGGGCAGTGTCATCAGCTTAGAGATAGATTTCACAGTTGCTGGGGCAAGGGACGTCATGAATAAAAAGTGAATAAAGGACTGGTCCAAGAACCGAACCCTGAGAGACACCGGCTTTGATGGGCCGTGTTGTCGACAGAACGGTATAAATTTTGATCCTACCCTCGAGGAAGGATTTCAAAAGTCAGAAGGGGGAAGCCCTTATGGATAAATTTGTAGAGAATTCCCTTGTGCCACACCTTGTCAAATGCCTCTGAGATATCCAGAAGCAAGATGCCAGTACTTTCGTTACTGGTGAACCCCCTGTTTGTTTTTTTTTGACATTATACGTTATGAGGCTTCAGTTATCAATGTTTGGCTCTGATGTGATGTAAAATCTGCTTCAGAGATGGCATTACTGGAGGTCTAAAAGCTGTAAGTTGTATGTGTTGATGATAATTTCATTTGATTCTTGACTCTAATACACTTAATTGAGATTCAAAGCTAGAAATTAGTTGCGCATCCACTTTTTCTAATACATTCTGGAAACTACATATGCATATTTGCTGAATTTAAAGAGAGAAATTAGAAATAATTATATTCACTGTACACTGTCGAATTACAAATACATACTAACAGTAATTACACACAATGCGGGCGCGGTGATGATTTCCCGTAATTCTCAAAGTTTTTTGTAATTTATAACTTTGGGCATAGCTAATAGATATACTTCATTGGCAGCATATTCAGTAATGATTTTCTCACACAGCAAATATCACTGATTTTATACACATGCAGACCAATACACATAATCTGTCTTCTCAGAGATAAAAACTACAGACTACTCGGCCTCACAAAAATCATGTGCAACCAACAATGCGTGTAGTTTAGTTGAGTGATTCCTCCATAGATGGATGTTCACAACGATCCTAGTGACATCTTATAGGTTTTTTGACGTTTTATAGGTTTTTTACATAACACCCGTGCGGGACAAAACAGACATTAAACGTATCAAGTCAGTCAAACAGGCCCATACAATTATTAGTCCATAGCTATCGTTTTCCTGCCCTACCGATAGTACCGTCCATCTCACAACGTGGCCCCTCCCCCCATATATCACTGTTCGATCTATCCACTAGTCAGCTCGGCTGCATGGCAGGGACGTAAAGACATTCACGGGGGGGGGGGGCTGTGACGCCGGTCAACCCACAATACATTCTGTTTCAAGGACAAATGTACAGGAAAATCTATGGTGCATGGAATAGTCTAATAAGTACGTAGAACTGGTCGGAAGGGTATAAATACACTACCGGCAAAAATTGGGATATACCTTCCCCCAATTTTCAATCCCCCCAAAATGTTTCTGGAAATGACCAGAAACATCTGAACATCAATAAACGAAGCTTGAGCGAAGTTATAGATAGGATTAGCGGACAAATCGACGGAAACGAGTGACATAGTTTTTGTGATGTACACGTCACATAAGATCCAAAAACATCTCAATTTCGAAATTTTTCGCGAATACAATACTTCCTACTTACTTCCATCTAACAATGGTTAGAACGATTCGAATCTTTTCACCTTAAATTTGGCTCTCCTTTAATATGTGGGACAATAAAATCTTTCCCGTTTTCACTGTTACATATTTTTTTTATTTGAATTTGCAAAGTATTTTTTCACCTTTATTATAGCTTCGCTGCGTAACTTTGGTACAAGAGTCGGCGAATTTTTCTCAAGAAAGAAGAGAGATGTCGCCCAGGAAGCGAAAGAAGCCGACGAAAAAATCGAAGAGGGAATTGACAAAGCTGCTGAAATAGCCAAAGAAGTAAAATCTGACGCAGAGGGAGCCGCCCAAGTTGCTGGTAAGAACAAATTCAAATACCTTTCTGATGCAAGTATGGATAATGCGTAGGTCAATGGTTCAAAGCCAAATGTGTTCAAACATAATATGTATTGTAGCATTTTTCTGGGTTCTTTTGGGCGTGGATTAAAACACTGGATTCCACATAAAGAAATGCACTAATTTATTTACCTTGACTAGATAGAACATTTATGTACACCACTATTTATGTCTGACTAATTCTTATGTCGCGCCATTGACTGAACTATACTCCACTGTGCTCTACTCTACTCTGCTTCCCTCTCCCGGCCGTCAAGTTATATAGTCCGTATCGTTGGGTCGAGAAGATTCCGGTGAGCCACATAGCGGCATTCCAGAATCGTCGAGATCACTTCGCGTCGATCTAGTAGACTTGTCTCCTTGGCACGGTCCTCAACGGATGTCGCCAAGTGGCATGTGCGGTCGCGATCCGCGTAAAAACAGAGATCGGCCATGAAGCTCTGGCGAGTAGGAGAGTCTGGTGCCGTCCCCAACAAATGGCGCCATCAGTACTATTCATTCTTGTTACAGTATAAACACTTTCCTTCTATTCATAAGGAAAATTACGTTTTACGAAAATTCATCAAGTTGAAAGTCGTACAACAGTGTCAATAATAAAACTAGCTTCGTTTATCGAGCATTGATTGACGTATCCTACCTCAAGATATCCAAAAATATATCCGGAACGAAATGAGATACCATCTATGAGGATTTGTAACAGCTATGTTTCTCCTTTCCGCAATAATTGGAAATCTACTTTGAAAAGGTTAGCATCTCATAGATGGCGCTGTAGCCAACTATATGATCATATTATGCCATCCATCCAGGAGACACTAACCTTTTCAAATAGATTTCCAATTATTGCGGAGAGAAGTGTAGCTGTGGCAAATCAACATAGATAACGCTTTAGTATCTCATTTAATCTCATTGTTGTCTATCTTCAGGTAAAATACGTTAATCAACAGTTCGAGTTAACTTGGTGAAAGTCACCATTTTTCACAATATAAGTGTGTTCAACAAATTTTACAAGATTCTGTTTATCATATGTAAGCATTGCTGCCTTAGTTAATGCTTCTCATACTCATTAATGTTTGCTGAATGACAGCATTCCTGTATAGTTATATACGGGCTCCTTAGCGACTATGGGAAGCTTAAATCGTAAGTAACAACACTTTTAGAAACCGCCATCACATATCGTAGATTTGTTAACTTCGTTAACTGTATTTTCGATATTCCTGGTTCTTATCAAAATCTCATTCTAATTTCAGGTGAAAACGTGAAAAACACAAAGAATGCTATAAGCGAAAATCTCAACAACGCAGGACGGAATATTCAACAGACTAGTCACGCTGCAGGAGAATCTTTGCAAGAAAGTCTTCAAAACATCGGCAAAGCTATAGACGATAAAATTAAAGGTGCAGACCAAGGTAAATGATTTTAAAATTATGGATCGTTACATATACTCGTATATCATTTTAAATGTCATTGAAAGTAAAATACAAACAAAGCTCGTAAGCCTTTATTTCTCATAATGACATCATATAAGTTACCTTTAACCAATTGAAATTGGACTATATTACCAAAGAGCCAGGGACACGCAAACTATCGTGGCCGAAAAAATTATGGTATGCTGCTTTTACAATGTATACTATAGAACCAAGTGCCTGTTAAAATAATAATGGGATATTTTCAAAAAGATCCTCATATTTAATATGTTTACTTCATCAAAAAGTGTTTTCTCATTTACTTCTCACAGGTAGCGAAGAAGTATCGTAAACATTTTTAAAATGAGAGTTTTTTGGATATTATATGACATGTACATAACGAAAACCATGTTACTCATTTCCGTCGGTCTGCCTGTCTGTCGGGTTGTCTTGCCTTGCCAGGTCTATAACTTGGAAAGTACCGCTCGGATTTGGATGAAATTTTCACACAAGGTTATTACTATGCCAAGGACAAAAAAGCTTTTTTCGAAAATCCGTCCAGTAAGATCGGAGAAAAAACGAAAAAAATAAAAATTCGCTCTAACTTTTTTGATGTTTCAATTTTTGTAGGGGTTAAAAATAGGGGGTTGCAGAGGGTGGGGGGGAGGTCATATCTGAATATTTTGACGTTGGCATATTCATACGCCTCCAAGGCCAGTAATTCCTCGCACCTATTGGACATATTTCACTCATCATAGATGTCCCCTTAAAACTTTGAAATATCTCCAACAGTCACGTGACAATGTGAGCCCCATGGCCCGTCTAATGGTCGTGAGTTGTAGTCGGCAGACGCTTCTGAGGTATTGTGGGCTGTATGATGTAAAAGTCAATATCGTCATCTACACGGGATTAGTCATAGAAACGAACATGTGCGCCGGCAAGAATTTCTCTCAGGGGTGGGAAGAGTCATTTAAGTTTTATTATACATGCTTGTAGCTAACTTTTTTCTCAAAAGGATAACTTGTGCCGAACATAATCCTTCACGAACTGATATCAACGTTACACAGGAAGTAAAGAGTCAACTTACTTATCGCCATTTTTTTCTATGAACCCGAGGTGCAAAAACTTGCCCTCAAGGTTCACACGTAATGTCAGATTCACATATTGGACCAACTTAGGACAAAACCAAAGTGTGAACGCTAAACCAATGCGCATTAGCCTGGGTTGGCCAACGTTGGCGCAGAATGATAGTATATCATATCATGTTGACTCCAAAAACTTTGTGCCAAAGCTACAACGTAACGAGTAGCGTGACGTGGTATTTTTCTACGTTATGTGCTTAACTCTGTCATAAAGGTTACGTAATAAAAAACAAATCATGTCAGCTGACTTCTCCGGAAAAAAAAATCCACCATTGTGGTCGGAACTTCGTCATCAGTAGACAGTATTTCAACCATATGTTGTTTCATTCAGCTGGGAGAGAAACATGGAGGATTATATTTAAATTAACAAAACAGTGGAATAACGAGAATCTAGTGTAATTATCTCAGCAATTAAAAACAAATTTGCCTAGTTGTAGAATAATATCCTATTCGAGTGCTCGCCACCCGAAATCTTACCTGTATGTTCTGGATGTATACTCTAAATAACGATTGGTCAGTAAAAAAAACTAACTACACTTGTAGCGCTTTTCCGCTTTATTTAACCGACATGTCATCAATGGTGGAATTACATTTGCTCAGAAATCACAGATTGGTTTCTTTCCTCAGTAAAGACCTGATTTCTTTCAACCTAAACCACTATTCTCCTCCATAGCTATCCACAACACCGCCCAATCAGCAAGCCAATACTGGCGAGACACCGAGGCAGCTGTAGCTCAGAAAGTGCGCGAGACAGAAGAAGCTGCTGAGGCTAAGCGAAGGGCTTTGGCTCAGGGCCTGAGGAACACTGCTCAGAACATCGACGAAAAAATCAAGGAATCCGAAGATGCAGTTCAGAAGAGGGCTAAAGAAGCTGCGGAAGCTGCTGAAACTCAAAGAGGAGCTCTTGCTGAGGGTGTGGACCATAAAAAGCAGGAAATAGCAGAGGGTAAATCTCACCTGCCACCTCTATTATTTATTTAAAGAAGTAAATCCAGAAAAAATGCATTTTTCCTGCGGGGAAATTATGTCCCCACTGAACGAGTGCCAGTCTGTGGTGATCGAAATGTTAAAATTTCGGTGTACTACTTCCGTCACGAACGCTGAAGGAATGAACGGCAATGTTAATGTAACGACAATGCCGTTAAGTAGGTTGACTCTGATGATATCATCACTTCATAAAGGATCGTTCGCTGCAAGTTAGCACCTCGGAGAAAAAAAATAACTACGTACATGTATAACAAAAAAAATCAATGAATCAAGTCAGTCAAACATAACATGCAATCCAACTAATCCATAGTCCCCACTCATTTGACAACGTTGCGGTCTAGCCGACAGTACCGACCATCTGGCAACGTTATTATGATGAAATCTTGCCTCACGCCAGCGGTCACACATCAGTCAGACCTGGACGCAGGTATATCTACGTCGACGCCGATAGCGTTGCTGTGTCGCGTGTGTTGAAAATATTTCTCTATCATTTTGTTTTAAGGGCAAATGTACGGGAAAATATATGATGCCAGAAATATGTCTGATATGTGTATGTACAACTAGCGGGTTTGGAAGCGTATAATTACACCTTCAGACATTTTTCTAAAAATGGTTAGGATTCTAAAACGTCAAAAAACGAAATTTGATTGTTTTTTTTCGTTTTTTGCCAGTATCTCGATTTTCGAAACCTAAAAATTGGGCTTGTACCAACCTTGTGTCAAAATTTCATCCAGTCCAAGCGATACTTCCAAGTTATCGAGGGATCAACGGACAGATAGACCGACAGACAGACGACGGAAATGAGTGACGTGGTTTTTCGTGATGTACATGTCATGTATCAATAAAACATAATACTCACTTTTGGAATTTTTCGCGATTACAATACTTCCTCGCCTGTAAGCGTGAGAAGTAAAATTAATTGCAAGAACTCTTCAAACGACACAAATCCGTGCAGAACTGACAAATAGCCATCATACAAACCGAAACTAAAGACTATAGAGATTATTTTCGTTCCAAAACATGAAATAACAGACTCGCATGAAAGTGAGACATTTGTACGACAATAGTTTCCTTTTTCTGCAGTCTTATGACAGGAAAGCATCATAATAGAAGAGTCTATAATCGTCGATGTTTTGAATTTATTTTTCTGTTTTTTCTGTCGCTAATCTGCCAAACGTAATATACTAGAACATTTGACAAATCATTTGAACACCTGTTCAAAAATGACATGTGAATAAATGATCAGTGCCTAAATTATAGTTTTCATTGTTTTCAGGCGCTCAAAACATCGCTAAAAACATCGATGATAAACTAAGAGAAACCGAATCAGCTATCGAGAAAAAAGCACGTGAAGCTGCCGAAGCTGCCAAAACTGCAAAGCAGGGAGTAGCTCAGGGAGCTCAAGACATTGTTCGAAACGTAGATCAGAAGCTCAGAGAAAGTGAGGCAGCAGCTGAACAAAAAGCTAAAGATTCTGCCCGGGCTGCTGAAGCTGCGAAGCAAGGGTTAGTCCAAGGAGCGCAAAACGTCGCTAAGAATATAGATCATAAGCTCAGAGAAACTGAGGCCGCAGCTGAGCAAAAAGCTAAAGATACGGCCCAGGCTGCTCAAGCTGTGAAGCAAGGGTTAGTCCAAGGAGCGCAAAACGTTGCTAAGAATGTAGATCAGAAGCTTAGAGAAACTGAGTCAGCAGCTGAGCAGAAGGCTAGAGAGGCAGCTCAAGGAGCTCAGAATTTGGCACACAATGTAGGTCAGAAATTAAAGGAAACAGAATCTGCGGCTGAGCAAAAAGCCAGACAAGCTACGCAAGGGGTTCAAAACTTAGCCAAAAATGTTGATCAGAAGCTCAGAGAAACTGAGACTGCAGCTGAGCAGAAAGCTAAAGAAACAGCTCACAAGGTGGGACAAACACTAAAGGAAACTGAAGCTGCTGCAGAGCTAAAGGCTAAAGAAGCTGCTCAAGCAGCTGAAGCCCAAAGACAATCCTTAGTTGAGGGAGCTCAGAACTTAGCTGCGTATGTTGACCACAAACTTAAAGAAACTGAAGCAGCAGCTGAACAAAAAGCTAGAGATGCAGCACAAGGGGCTCAAAACTTAGCCAGGAATGTGGACCAGAAACTAGAAGAAACTGAGGCTGCAGCTAAGCAGAAAGCTAACGAGGCTGCTCAAGGCGCTCAAAATCTAGCCCAGAATGTAGGTCAAAAACTGAAGGATACTGAAGCCGCAGCTGAACAAAAAGCTAGAGAAGCTGCACAAGGGGCTCAAAACTTAGCCAGAAACGTAGACCAGAAACTCAGAGAAACAGAGGAGGCAGCTGAGCAGAAAGCTAAAGAGGCAGCTCAAGGCGCTCAAAATTTAGCGAAAAACGTAGATCAGAAGCTCAAAGATAGTGAAGCTGCTGCTCAACAAGCGAAAGAGGTAGCCCATGGTATGCAAAATGTATCTAGAAACGTAGCCCAAAACATCAATAACACAGTTCAAGAAACTGTAAACGCAGCTCAAAACGTGGCCCAGAACGCAGCTAGAAGTGTAGATAACAAGCTTCACGAAACTGCTGCAACTGCAGAAGCTAAGCGTCAAGAATTGGTCAAGGGAGCTCAGAAGTTAGCTCAAAGTGCAGCTAGGAATGTAGATAATACGCTCAACGAAACTGCTGAAGCTGTGGAAGCAAAGAAACGAGAACTCGCTCAGGGAGCCCAAAATACTGCTAAAGCTGTAGATCAAAGATTGCACAATATTGCTAATGCTGGCGAAGCTGAAAGGCAACGATTGGCACAAGGGGTGCATAACATTGGAACTGCGATTGGAGGTAAATTTAAATTAGACATACAGGGAGTCCCCTAGAATAGGATGGAAAAACGATTTCTATTAGTGTTTTAGGGCCCCGCATTTCCGCAGACAATATGGTATAGTTTTTTGTATTTTTTATTCATCTGTTGTACCGAGACATCCTGGATACTATACATTTTTGTGGCCATTGCATATTTCTAGGCAGCATATTTGTGTCCGTCTGTCTGGTCTAAATTGAGAGTGTCAGCAACATATTTGACGAATGTAATCATAACATATTTTAATAAGAACTTCGCTGTGATACACGAGCCAAAGTCAAAACTGTTATTCGTCAATAAATACAAGTAACCGCTACGTAGATAGATCATTAATATTATTAAGTCGAGTTTAGTTCAGATAGGAAATGCGTCTTTTTTATATCTAATAGATTAAATCATACTATTAGTAGATATATCTGAGTTCTAGAAAAGTGATGATGAAATCATATTAATTTTAGAAGCTATTGCTCATATACAGGATGTCCAAAATTTATAGGTTGGTGTCAAAAAATAAGGTTCCTCGAAAACCTTGGGAGATGCAGTATCGAGATGAAAAGTGCAAATTTGTATAAAATAGGATACATCGTAATAGTTTGTTAAAGTTATTCAAGTACCCCGAGATTTTATAACAGAAATATAATCCAACTGTTTCTCCATAGGTAAACTCCACCAAACCGCCCAAGATGCAAATCAGGGTTTCCACAACGCAGAAATCAGCCTTGATAATAAAGTACGAGAAGCTGGCCAAAACCTACAGGTAAAGAATCGTTAAAAAACCTTCTCACGCATTGAAAGTCTCATCACAAACAATGTTCGACTCAGATTCTGGTGAAAATTAAAAACTTCTACTCTAATGCGATGAAGCAATACAGCTTTTGAAAATCGTTTAACTGATAGTGCAATATCAAAACAATATATCAACCCTCCATATTTTTATTACTTAATTTACGAATATTAATTTACGTGTCACAGTTTTAACTATGATGATATTTCCAGAATTTCGGTCAGAATGTCGACAACAAACTGAAAGACATGAGTCAGGCTGCAGGCAACAAACTTGAAAAAGCAAAACAAAATATAAGTGAAGACATTGACGAAAGCAACAAGAGGATACATGCTGGGCTGGATGAAGCATCAGATATGACGAAGAATATACTAGGGAAAAGCCTAATACCGAAAAACTAACTACATAAAGTAAGTAATAACATTTTCTGTGGCAAAAGATATGACAAAAACAACTAACATTACAAACTGGGACATGGAAACCAGGTTAAATTGAACAAAACCAATGTTATTGGTTCAAGTCCATCCCTGTGTATGATACAATGTCTAAAAAACATCTATATAATGGGGTATTATCCACCTAGACAAAATTGCATTAGTAGCTGAAATAGATTTTTTACATTCATGTTTTCCAAATGATGCACTTTACCATCGTTTTCTTGCTCGTGAGTTGGGAAAAACGTATTTGGAATTCGTACATCAAAAGATAGCATGTTTAAATTCTCTGCCTTTCTCGCCGAAGCAGTTTGCCAATAGGATTTGATTATAATTCCTGATACCATAGCCACCTACAACCAACAAGGTATATACCAAATTCATTTTCGAGGTGCGGTAGATGTAAACATCAGTCATCAGGTGCTGGTCCAGGTTGGCCAAAGCCCTATTCTGTGTTAAGCACGCGATATCGGTGATTACCGAAATGTATTACATCACCGATTAACATATTCCACCACTTGTATAATACCTTATCAATTACACGTAATGTTTCCTCAAATGGCCATAGTGTTACTTCCCACGCCTACTAGCGGGGAAGTATTATAGTCGCGATAATTTTCTAAAATGAGATATTATGTTTTTTGGATGTCAGCTGACACGAAAAACCGTCACTCATTTCCATGTCTGTTCGCTAATCATATTTTTTATACAATGTTCCTACTATGCCAAGGCCGAAAAGCTTTGTAGTTTGCGAAACTTGGCTCGGTGGCGGCAGAGACAAAGACCAAAAGTGGATAAAATAAAAATTGCTTAACCTTTGATTTTTGACTTCTCAGGGGATCCTGCTGGTTATTGAAAAAAAATAGAGGTGAAAGGGGGTGGAGGGTATATCTCAATTTCTTGATGTTAGTATATAAATTAATATTCTCAGCAGGCGTATCGCGTACCTTCTGCTCCCGCTGTTGTCGTCCTTGCTAAGTGTTCTGGTGTTACACGTATGACAGCTCCGTTATAGCATAGTGTTTTCTATGTTGTTGGCCACGCTGACACGTCTGACCGGCACGGGTATCACGTAACTTGAAAAGTAACATTATGCCGGTTTTTTTGTTGACATTATGCTAGTTTTCTTTGACATTATGTAGGTTTTTCTACAAGATATTAACTTAGCACTTAGTTGTACGTGTAGCCTAAACGTCATGACGCTTGTTATCAATCTTTGGCTCTGAAGTGTTGTAAAAACTGCTTCTGAGATGGCATTACTGGAGGTCTAAGCTGTAAGTTGTATGTGTTCATGATAATTACATGGGTTCCTGTCTCAAATACACTTAATTGAGATTCAAAGCTAGTTGCGCATCCACTTTTTCTTATCCATTCTGTAAATTACATATAGGTATAAATTTGCTGAATTTCAAAAATAAAGGAGATAAGAAATAATTATATTCACTGTACACTGTCAAATTACAAGCCATATACATGCTAACAGTAATTGCACACAACGCGGGCGCGGTGATTTCCTGTAATTCTTCTCAGTTTTTTGTAATTTATAACTTTGAACATAACCTCTCTTCAGAAAGCACAACATAAAAATAACCCGTTGGGCACAGCCAATAGATATACTATACTTCATTGACAGCATATTCAGTAGGTAATGATTTTCTCACATAACAAATATCACTGATTTTATACACATGCAGACCAATACACATAATCATCCAGATACGATCTTGCTATTCAACCAACTTTCTTCTCAGAGATAAGAACTACAGACAAGAACCATTTGGTCTCACACAACATAAGCAACCAATTAGTTTAGTTGAGGGATTCCTCCTTAGATGGACGTTCACAACGATCCTAGTAAGCAAACGTGTAATGACTGTTTGCAAGATGACATCTTATAGGTTTTTTACATGATACCCATGCGGATTAGGTTTCGGCAGAGGCGACGTTGCCAGATTGACTACCGGTAGGGAAAAAATGTATGGACCTGTTTGAGTGACTTTTTTTTAGAGGACCTAGTTTGAGCTGAACATAATCCATTATGAACTGATAACGGCGAGCTAAGTTTTCTAGGCTTATTATTAATATTATAGGTAATTCACACAGCGAAGAAATTACTATACGTAATATCCCCGCTAAACGGTATACAGACGACAAGTGAACTACCTGATTCTAACTGAATTTCCACCATTGAAATTAATTTCGATGTCGCCTTGCTGTCATACATTTGATCCGATATGAATATTTCAACACTATCATGATTATTTTCATATAAAAATTCTCTAAAATCATGTGTCAAAGCCGTCCTAACCGGTCATGTGTGTGACAGGAAAATCAGGTTATGTACTTTTTATTACCGGGAACATGCTATTACGGCTGTCTTTTCCAAACGGTCAATCAGTACGCTGCACTTATGCACTAGCCAGCATTTTTTTTTTACTGATTGCACGTCGAAAATGAAATTGATATAGCTGGCTCTGCTGATACTTGAAAAACGTGTCCATAAATTTCATGTCAAGTCATAGAATACAGGTTGTTTTCGTCAGATTTGACGTAAGCCATACCCCCATTGCATAACTAGAGTAACATTCTTAAGGACGAAGGGTAGAAAAATAATTTACGTCGAAGGTTTGGCGCGACATTGTCCATTTGAACTATGCCGGGCACGATTTACTTCCATTTTATGAATAAGAGTTAGGTGGAAGAGTAATACATGGCTAAACTGCACCCTTTAAATGAAGACCGTTTATTATTATTAATTTTTGGCGGCAAAATATTGTAACGCTGTCGAATTTTTGTAAAATATGAGTTTGCTTTTTTGAAAAGTTTAATTAACCCTAACATTGCAGAAAGCATGTTGAATACAGAGATTCATTGTGAGCATTTAGACGGGTTGTCAGACTGAGATGGTGGCTGAAACCGGTGTACTGGCTCTGCACGACGATAGTACGTCTATTTCTTCTGTATAGCTCCTTGGTTTAGAGGCCTTGCATTGGAACCGAGACAACTAAAGCAAAACTCAACAAAAATCAGCGTTTGGCTTGTTGGATCTACTGACCTGCGGAAAGGCGGAGGTGATCGCATATCGACTGTGGAGCTTGGCCTTTATGAACCCTGTCAAAGGCCACACTACCATCTTAGTCGAACTGCAATGGGAAGATCCCATCCTTCTGAGCAGGGGTCGTCAGTCGTCCCTACAATTGAAGGGTGCGTTTATGGCTTCCTTGATTGTCATACTCTTTTCTCTCCTTCAAAAATTTCTAGATTACACTCGTCCCGTGTCAGCGTCAACGCTCCCCTAATGTTAAGATATGTTTTCCTTTTAAATTGTAGGAAATTTCAGGCTGATAAAACGGAGGGGTAGAGATATCTAGACAACACTCTCTAAAATTGACAAGTATCTCTAGACTTCTTCTTCAGGCACGCAAGCTCAGTTTATTGCCCAGTGGTAAGGATGTTCGTTTTTGCTTGTCTCTGGTAAAAGGCACCTCAACGTTGCTGGTGGGACGATTGTCTGGGCCATAATAAATTGAGGCGCCACCTACATATGATGATGGGAGGAGTCCTTGGCGCATGTTATGTGTAGCTGCTCTGGGATACCTCAGGCAGACTACTGGGGTCTAAATTTTGGATCTCCAGAATTTCAAGAGGTAGGAGCGTTGTAGGAGCCTTAAGGCCCTACTCAACTTCCTTATGAGAGCGGCACGGGTATTACGTATCTTGAAAAGTGACTTAATGCTGATTTTTTTGACATTGTATTGGTTTTTTGTGACATTATGTAGGTTTTTCTTCAAGATGTTAACTTAACACTTGGTTGTACGTGTTGCCTGAACGTCATGATGCTTCAGTTATCAATGTTTGGCTCTGATGTGATGTAAAATCTGCTTCAGAGATGGCATTACTGGAGGTCTAAGCTGTAAAAAAGCTAGAAATTAGTTGCGCATCCACTTTTTCTTATCCAGTCTGGAAATTACATATGCAAATTTGCTGAATTTAAAAAATGAGAGAGATAAGAAATAACACAACGCGGGCGCTGTGGTGATTTCCTGTAATTCTCCTCGAAGTCTTTCGTACTTTGAACATAACCTCTCTTCAGAAAGCACAACACAAATAACCCGTCGAGCACAGCTAATAGATATACTTCATTGGTAGCATATTCAGTAACGATTTTCTCGCACAGCAAATATCACTGATTTTATACACATGCCGACCAATACACATCATCCAGGTGCTATCTTGATATTCAGCCAACTTCAACTTTCTTCTCAGAGAGGAAAACTACAAATTACTCGGCTTCAAAAAACATATGCAACCAACAATGCGTATAGTTTAGTTCAGTCATTCCTCCATAGATGCACGCTCACAACGATCCTAGTGCACCCTAAAAACTACCTAGTCTGCAAGATGACTGGTATTACGTATCTTGAAAAGTGACATTATGTCGATTTTTTGACATTATATGGTTTTTTGTGACATTTATGTAGGTTTCTCCTACAAGATGTTAACTTAGTACTAGCTGATGGACACGTTGTGAACTCGTTTTGTAGTTGTACGTGTTGCCTAAACGTCATGAGGCTTCAGTTATCAATGTTTGGCTCTGATGTGATGTAAAATCTGCTTCAGAGATGCCATTACTGGAGGTAACGGCAATGAATAGGTGCATAGTGACGATTTGTGTGCTAATAATATGTGTTGATGATAATTTCATTGGATTCTTGTCTCAAATACTTTTACTTGAGATTCAAAGCTAGAAATTAGTTGTGCATCCACCTTTTCTTATTCATTCTGAAAATTGCTGAATTCCAAAAATGAGAGAGATAAAAAATAATTATTTTCACTGTACACTGTCGAATTACAAGTCATGTATATGCTTATAGTAATTACACACAACGCGGGCGCGATGGTGATTTCCCGTAATTCTCCTCAAAGTTTTTGAAAACACAAAAAACGTAAAAAATCGTAATTTATAACTTAGAACATAACCTGTCTTCTGAAAGGACAACACATAACCCGTCGGGCACAGCCAAGGCACAGGTAATAGATATACTTCATTGGAAGCATATTCAGTAATGATTTTATCACACAGCAAATATCACTAATTTTATACACATGTAGACCAATACACACAATCATCTAGATGCGTTTTTGCAATTCAACCAACTTTCTTCTCAGAGATGAAAACTATAGACTACTCGGCTTCACAAAACATTAGGCAACCAACAATGCGTGTAGTTGAGCCATTCCTCCATAGATGGACGCTCACAACGATCCCAGTGATCAAACGTGGAATGACTGTTTCCACCCTAAAAACTACCTAGTCTGTAAGATGATATTTAATAGGTTTTTTACATAGTGCAAGTGCGGGGCAAAACCGCGGCATGTGGCCTATGCGCTGGCTCCTCGTGGTGACCAGTATACCTCTAACTTTTAGTTGATTAATTCATTCAACATTGCAGAGTCTGATTTCTAGTGACCTAATACTTATTTTGTTTCAGATTGTCAATTATAGAGGTCTACATGCTGCATTTGAGTTTATTCTGGAAGCGGTCCAATTTTATTGCTAGACTAAACGAGTGCCTTTTGCTAACTTTCAACATGATACCATCACCGGCTGTGCGCCTGAGTATCTACCTATTATATTTATCATAAACAAAAAAGTGCTAAGATAGCTTTTCGTCCTGTTCATGTTACAGCTTCAAACAAATACCACTACAATGTTGGATCTCCTATAGACTGAATTAAGATTACATATACTGAATTCTAAATTACACTAATCAAAAGTGATTCCCTTTTACACAATCAGCTTCAGTAACTAGTTGGTAAAGCAATATGATCATGGATAATGTTTCCACATCTCTAGTGGTATTTGACACCTGCATAAATGTATATTTAAAAAGAACACAAGTTATATATTTCAGCATTGTTCAATGTTTATACTATAGATGCAGCATAGTATTTTTGCTAACTTTCTGCTAATAAAAATATGTTTCTATGTTTGTACTGTTTGTATATTTTTAATGTAATGTTTATTTGCACTGTTACATTGTACGAAATATAGTATTATTTTTGTTATTTGAATATTTCATTGGAGAATTCCTTCTGTTTTCTGTGTCGATGTATATTTTGACAATGATCCTAGAATCGGGTCATGAATGTAGCATAATTTGACGCCATGTTCTGTGATCAGATTATAAGCTTTGGGAGGAGAAAGAAATGAGATAAGAAATGTAATATAGTGTTCTTTCATCCGACCATGGACAGCTTCATGCTATTTGGCGACTCCTCAGCATGGTGTAGGCTTGACGCGGTGGACAACCAAAGAAAGCTGAGCTCTACCCTATTCAGAATGTAAATAGGGCAGCATACAGTGATCGGTTCTGGCAATAGATGGCACTGTATGCTGTCTTATTTTTAAATGAGATGAGTTTCACGCTTTTAACACAGCTTTAAAACGGTAAGGGAAATCAAGAATTTTGGCATTTACTAAAATGGAATCCTTACCAATAGGCATCATATCCATTACTGATTTATATAGGCAGCAGCGGTGGCCGCAGTAGTAGACTCTTCGGTCTCCTGATCAGTCGCCGTGCGCTGTGCGGGTTCGAGTCCCGTCCCAGGAGAAATTTTTCTCTTGGCTATGGATGTTGTGATTGTCCGTAGGTGGTAGACGGTCTCTGACTGTCGAACGTGGAGGTACCACCCGGCGGATCTCGTAGACGGGGCCAGAATATGTGCATGTTGCATGCACACGTGTTCCCTCGCCAGAGTCCGTGTGGCGTTCCCCCTTTCCCCTGTATCCCCTATAGCCCCACGGTACCCAATGGGTGTTTAGGCCTTAGGCCTTCGTGGTAGTTGGAGTATAAATATATATATATATATATATATATATATATATATATATATATATATATATATATATATATATACAGGGTGTCCGCAAAGTTGGGGTTTTCCTTTTCAGAAACAACTACCCTTGTAATAACAAAGGTAATGTGTAGTGAAACGACCAAGTAAAAAAAAAATAAAGGAAAAAGTAATCACTCTCCGGTTGACGAGAAGGGCTAAGTGCCCGACGGACAGCGTGCGGATTTTCTACTGACCAAACATGAGTGTTGCGAAAGTTATTCACCCCATTACGCGTGAACGTAGATTCGTCTGTCACCAATATGCACTTCAAAAAGTCCGGGTTATTGTCATGTTGATGCAACAACCACTCACAAAACCGCACTCTTGCTGGAAAATCGTCAGGTTGAAGGGCTTGTACACGTTGGACGTGAAACGGATACAGCCCCTCTTCACGCAGCGTTTGCCACACTTTAGTTTTTGATACTTGCACTTCTCTAGCCACGTCTCTAGTGCTTGTTGAGGGATTATCGTCTACGCGATTACGTCTAGACGCGTGACCGTAACCGTCGGTTGAAGGTTGCATACTGACCTGACACACTGACCCCGACCCAGTTCTGCCGTCGGGTTGAGCTAGTGTCCTAGTACCAGTCGGGGATGTCGCGGCTACACAACGGTATTCAGATATTTTTGATGTTGCAGAGCCCTTTATCTCGGTTCCCTTAAGACATTGGTGTATATGGTACTAAGAAAAATTGCTTATGTTTTCAAGATCCAGACGTCGTGTAAAGGAAAACCCCAACTTTGGGGACACCCTGTATATATACAGGGTGACTTTGAAGTTGAGTCATTAATTTTCAGATAATGATTGTAGAAGGAAGATAAACCAAAATATGTGTGTAAAAATAAAAAATAAAAATAAAAAAAAATTTTACCTTGTTTTATAAAGTATCCTCCCGATAAGTATTTCAGTGCGGACCTGTATTTGATCGCGAGGTCTTGGAGCACCGGCATGCCGTCTTAAGTCACCTGATTCACGAGCCCGTTGTACTACATTAACAAAGGCACGAGGGGTTGGTTGCACTCGATTGGGAAACCGATCCGCATAAACATGTGCCATTTTTATTTCGTTTGAGCCACGCAACAGACACTACTATTCACTGACGCGTTACCGACTGTACACTGACTGTATACAACACAACTGAATAAAATAATTGTAAAAACATCGTTCCAAATTCTTTCGCTTTTTTGTTTCCGATGCGATGAACCGATGGCGGATTATATCCGTTGTTGCCAAACACGAGCACATAATATTATCATTGAGACAGGGCGGTACTCAAACTTCCAAAGGGCTATAACTTTGTTACTTTAATTTTACCAGAAAAATGGTAAAGGAAAAAACATTTCTTTTGATCAGATCTACTCACTGTTAAAATAAATGACTCAACTTCGCTGTACCCTGTATAAGTAAGTCGTCCGTCAAGTCGTCCCGGCAACCAGAATGGGCCAATAAAGTGGTTGCCAATAATACCTGCCCATACGTTAACCGACAATTGGTGTTGGAAATGGGTTTCGGTTACGGCATAGTGATTTTCTTCTGCCCACAAATGATTATTGTGGAAATTCTGAATGGCATTTAGAGAAAAATTAGCTTCGTCCGTGAACAAAATGATTGATTCAAATTGCGGATTTTGTGTAATTTTTTGAAGATACCACTGACAAAAGGTCACACGCCTTGGAAAATAAATGTACTCTTAAAATATGGTAAGGATATAACACAAAATCCACTAAAATTCTCCAAACAATTTGATCGCAAATATTTACGTGTCTAGCGATCTTCCTTGTACTCGTTTCAGAATAATCTTCGACTTCGTGCAGAACTGCTTCCTCAATTTCAGGTGTTTTCACACTTAGAGGCAGTGGCGAAGCGTCCACGTAACCATTGTTACAATTGGTAACAGTAAAAAATCTTTAAAATAGACATTTTATGACTAAGTACTGTGAAATAATTTCATTTATTTGTTTACCAACAGCAATATGTAATAGTAACTCAGTAAATAGCAAATTAGCCCCACGAAAATAATGCGCCCTATAATACTGTCTAGATTTTGAGAACGCGATGAAGCCAACTCGCCTCGACTTGGTTGTCGGTTACCATTTTCGTTTATGGATACACTTGATAGTCCGTCGGGGACCATCGGAACCGGCTCGTGTCTGATCGCGGTCGCCCAAGTGCTTGGGCCGCCGCGATTATTATGTGGGCTTGTTACCATTTTTTGTTTTGGTTACTCACTTCTCACTTGTTAGTAATCGTTTTGGTTGCCGGCCGTAGTATGCGTGCAATTAAACATGGATGAGTGTGGCTGGGTAATCGATTAACTACTTGAACAGTCATTCTCCTTGTATAATTTTGAGGAACAACAAGGAGATCATTGAAAATGGAAGACCAACGCCTATTTTAGATAATTTTAAAAAGGAATAAAAAAAAGAAGTTCGATCTTTTAAATTCAGTTGGTATATTGAAAAATCTTTGTTATGTGGTTGCAAGACAAACAGGCCATGTCTTCTGTTTTCTACAGAAAAAAATGGGTGGACCGGGTCGAATAGTTGTAGGGTTCTAAAGAGGAGACATGAAATTTCTCCTTTACATGTGAGATGTGTTGCCCATTTGATTCAGTTTGGCAAAACAAGTATCGAAAGTTGTTTTAACCAAGCTTTTAGGCAGCACACTTATAGATGCTGTATGTTTTTTGACGAAACAAGAATTACCATTTCGGGGTCATTTTGAAGGAGATGTCTCTGACAATAGAGGAAATTACTGGGAATTGTTAACATTAATTGCCAAAAAAGTTTAAAAAATTCCGAACATCTAGAAATGTCTACTGTTTTTCGGAAGGCTTGGATTAGTCATAGCATAGGACGATGAGGTATATCAAGTGCCCCATACGCCCAGTCCAGAAATGTCTACCTTAATTTTTAAAAAGTTTAAATACAATACCTAAAATAAGCAAAAACGTATCTGGGAGGGTCAAAATAAACTTTTTTTAATAAGATTTTTCACATCTTGCTTTGGTAACAGTTTAGGAAAATTCACGCTTCCCCACTGCTTAGAGGTCTACCTTGAGATGTTCGTTTTCGGACAGAACCAGATTCAACAAGGCGACGATGAATATTAGAAAAGGTTCGACTATCTTGCAAAGCACGATCGGGATATCTCTGGTGATAAATCCATCTGGCTTACTCACCATTACCGTCGGCAACGCCTTATACGTAATGCATTTCCGCCATTTCTGCATTCGAATAATTCACCATTATTAAGATTGTAAAAACTAAATAATGAAAAAGATGTCACAGCGAACAGATTTGAATAACAGAGACTTGTGAGATGTCAAAAGCCACTGACATATTCCAGAGCAACTAGATATTTATTGCTAAATTGCATTCTTCAGTTATTACATTAATTTTCTCGGACAAAAGAACGGTTTTTATTTTTTTAATTAATTATGGCGCATCGAAGGAAAACAATTCAAGAGAGATCATTTGTTTTAAATTGAACGGGGAATTCAAAAATAATTTTTATTTGGCAACAAAACTATTGGCGTACCATTTTTTTCTTAAAAAATATCGAAGTCAATACCCGTACGCACGCCACTGTTAAAGCTAAAAATTATTTTTGCATTGAAAAATATGCAGTTTTATTAACTTTCACTACGTACTAAATATCAACGAAATATCTGAAGCGGTTCTGCAAATATTAATTAATTTCCATTTTTTCCTAAAACCAACACCCCGAGTTTTTGTAAGGAAACATTTTTGGACCATAGTTTATGAAGCAAACTAACATTCATTTTTCATGTAGATTCACACCCTTAAATATTCGCATATCATTAAGGAACACTCTGTATATATAATGTATAAAGAGAAAATGATGGTTACACCACAGCCGACGTAGTTGACGTCGGCTGTGGTTACACTTACACTAGTATGATGTTACTGCAGCCTTATCCACTTAACGTGTGCGATAAAGGATTTCATAATTTTGGGAACACTGTAGTTACTGCATTGCAAAAGATAATCGCAATCGAAGAAGAAGAAGAAATTAATTTAAGAATATAGATTTTTTTGTCATACGTTCATACAGAGTTTTATTTTTGTTTATTACCTATATAAGCCTCATTATTTTTATAATAACAATATGTTACCAGAGAAATCTATATTTGTTATTAAAGCATTGTTTAATACTGTTTGTTTAATTTTGTTAAAAAAACACAAATATACAAGTTCGGAAGCAAAACCAGCAACAGTCGCACCTTGTTGTATCAAAACCCGTAATATGCATCCTTCTGCAACAAAACTCGCCTTATCCATTTTTGTTTTTTTTCATGAAAAATGAACAAAATACGATTATTTCTGAACAAAATAGATGCAAAATTACAACTCCACACAATGGATATTTTTTTAAATACCGCTTGTAACTTTGAGTCAAACAGTTTTTGTCGATTATCTCGAAATCAAGTTTGTGGGATAAGGTGGGTTTTGCAACTTGACGCCTCATATATATATATATATATATATATAGAGAGAGAGAGAGAATATATGATCATGCGGAGAAAGGTATATAACAACAAGTAGGAAAATAATGGGCAAAATCCGCAAAAAGGAGGAAAGTGGATTCGAGCAGAAAATAGGATAGGTAACCCGAGCGATACGTATTTCTGCTGGTTGGCTTCAACAGGCCCGAAATGAATGCACATATGAAACTACAAAAGTAGATACACATGCCCAAACATCCGGATACGGGTGTAACCTGAGGAAACGAAGTTGGAGGGGGAAAAACGACACACGAAGTCCACAACAAGAGCCAACCTACACATTGTAGTATAAAATGGCTTTACGACCTCGAATTTTCAAGGAGACGTCTAACCACAACCACGCGGCCGGTTATAGCCACTTGCTGTGGTACTTCAAGCCCAAAGGATCTACAAAGAGAATATGATCATGCGGAGAAAGGTATATAACAACAAGTAGGAAAATAATGGGCAAAATATATCCTATAAATAGGATAGTTAACCTGAGCGATACGTATTTCTTCTGGTTGGCTTCATCAGGCCCGAAATGAATGCACATATGAAACTACACAAGTAGATACACATGCCCACACATCCGGATACGGGTGTAACCTGAGGAAACGAAGTTGGAGGGGAAAAACGACACACGAAGTCTACTTGTTGTTATATACCTTTCTCCGCATGATCATATTCTCTTTGTAGATCCTTTGGGCTTGAAGTACCACAGCAAGTGGCTATAACCGGCCGCGTGGTTGTGGTTAGACGTCTCCTTGAAAATTCGAGGTCGTATAGCCATTTTACACTACAATGTGTAGGTTGGCTCTTGTTGTGGACTTCGTGTGTCGTTTTTCCCCCCTCCAACTTCGTTTCCTCAGGTTACACCCGTATCCGGATGTGTGGGCATGTGTATCTACTCTTGTAGTTTCATATGTGCATTCATTTCGGGCCTGATGAAGCCAACCAGCAGAAATACGTATCGCTCGGGTTACCTATCCTATTTTCTGCTCGAATCCACTTTCCTCCTTTTTGCGGATTTTGCCCATTATTTTCCTACTTATTGTTATATATATATATACCGAGTGCGCCACCTTTTATGTCGGTATTGAAACATCGAATGACTTTGATATTTACCAACCGAGTGATTTGGTTATACGTGTTTCTGAAACTTCAATTTACTACAATTTTAGTCATGAATCGCTTTACACCGAAACAACGCGCCGAAATAGTCACATTGTACATTGAAAATCGTCGCTCAGTGGTGTTAACGCAACGTGCATATCGTCGAAAATATCGTGGCAAACAGGCACCGTCTGACAACACTATCCATCGTTTGGTTTCGAATTTTCTTGAGTACGGGACAGTGGAAGATCGTCAACATGCCGTCCATCAACGACCAAGACGCTCCAATGAATTGGTTGAGGCGGTCAGATACAGCGTTGCCCAGAACCCAAAAGTGTCGTATCCTCACCGCGCTCAGCATTTTGGCATCAGTGGAACCACGTTGCGGAGTATTTTGAAGGATGATTTGCATTTATTTCCTTATAAGAAAGGTGCAGTTAACACAAAAAATATTGCCAACTGACCATCCACGTCGCTTGGAATACGTCCAAACAATCGCTCGCATGGTTGATGCTGAACCAGATTTTTTTAAGCAAATTGTGATGACGATGAGGCCCATTTCACGCTCTCTGGCGGTGTTAATAAGCAAAATTGCCGCATTTGAGGGAAGGAAAATCCACATGAGATCCACGAAATGCCGTTGCATGACCGGAAAGTGACTGATTGGGCCGGCGTTCGCGCCAAAACCATCATTGGGCCATTTTTCTTCAACGAAAACGAAACAGTCGATGGAAATCGAAATCGACTCATTATGTCTGCCCACAAATGCGTGAAAAAGGTCTTGATGGTTACTAGTTTCAACAAGACGGTGCGCCATGCCACACTGCAAATGAAACAATTCAGTGTCTGCAACGAAAATTCCCTGGACGTCTAGTGTCAAAAAGAGGTGACATGGACTGGCCACCCAGGTCTCCAGGTTTGGCCACACCGGACTTCTTCTTGTGGGGTTATTTGAAAAGTCAAGTGTACGCCAGCAAGCCCCAGACCACTGAAGAACTCAAGGCAAACATTCTTACCGCAATCGCCGCTATACCACCAGAGATGCTCGAAAAAGTAGTGGAAAACCCAGCAAAACGGGCACATTTTGTTTTGTCCAATAAAGGTGGCCACTTGATAGATGTTGTGTTCAAAACCTAGTCCCAATAAATTGTAAAGGACCATATTTAATGAAAATATCCGATATATAGAAATCAGTTTTTCGTTTTCACAGTTATTTCATGTTTACATACCGACATAAAAGATGGCGCACCCATGTAAATGTAGAAATTTCGATCTTCATTTAGATTAAACATCTTAACATTAAAAGTTAACACAAATAACAATACACTTATATAGTTATCTTTGACTGGTATCTCTGGGTCTGTAGACAATGCCTTTACTTTTCATCTCTCTAATTATTCGATTTGGTAATCTTCCTGATACTGAGATGGCATATACTCCTCTACAGAATCGATCTAAAATGAAGATAAAAATTGTAAGGAAGTATAAACAATTACAAGAGTAGATAAAAATTTATTTTTAATAGTGTATAAAAATAAAGAACTTACTGATTCTTTGCCATTTTGCAACCCAACTATCCTCTGGACTCATCATGGATATCATACTGTAAATAATTACAACATGGTAATGGACTACATATTTTCAATAAGGTATATTCTAAATTTAAAAATATATGTGTATATTGTGGAAAAATTAAAGATATGATATCTCAAGCAAACACATCTTCTGGGTGAGGAATAACCTTTTGCATATTTCAAGCAAAAAACACATCTTCTAATTGAGAACAAACTATGGTATGGTACCTATGGTATCTTTCTAAACTCCCTTCAGTTATTAAAAGCAACGTGCACCTATTTTCTAAAGACAAAATTCTATAGCTTTAAACAAGTAATTGATTAACCTACACGTATAACTCGCTTCAGTTCCACCTTGATTGATATTTGTTAGTGACGTTATTTTGAATTTTTTTAGACTGAATGCTGATTTCATATCTGATCATGGATTATCTTTTTGCGAATTAAATATAGGAGTTAAATACGCCAAATATAAATTTGTGATTTACAGGGATTACAAAAATATGCATTTTCAGTGAAAGGAATAAAGCATTAGCTACATTTTACCATAATCCTCCCGATTATACATGGCAAATTTATAAAGATATGAGTAATTTCGCACTTGTCTCTCTTAGCCTATCTGTCACGGTTTGATCAATTAAATTCAAAGAAAGCCTTGGATTAACTTAGGATGATGAACGTTTGTCCCGAGAAACATACTGAGATTCCATTAAATTTATTAGAACCCAACGAAGTTAATGACCACTTTTTATTCAATTTTCAAAACACCCATACCCATTCCCATGTGATTGATGCTACAGCTGAATTTTATCAAGATTTATTCAATCCTAACTTAACACTACCTATATTTCTGTCTCTATAAAGTCGACTACAATAGGCTGTGATGGTATATAATATTGATATATGTTTGGTAACTGGGAGTTTTCCTGATGTGTGGAAAGAAGGAATAATCCTTCCTCTAGCCAAAATAAAAATTCCAATAATTCTTGATCTTTTACTACCCGTCAGCATACTATGTTTCTTTTCAAGGTATTAGAAAAAGTTGTTTATATTCAACTAATTAAGAACTTAGCGATGAACAATTTACTCCCTGACATCAGTCTGGATTTTGTGCTCATCTTCTGTGGCCGTTTCTTCAGGTGTCCCTCAGGGGTCTATCTTAGGTCCTTTACTGTATTTGATATAGGTATACTTTTGATTTACATTCATGTATTGAACATTGTGCTATACAAACTTATGCAGATGATACGAAGTTTTTTTTTCATTTTAACTGGTCTCATCAAGTGTTATATAGGAGGGGGTACCCAAAAAAACCGGAATTATTTTTTAAAAGCTATTTATTTTCAACTTTTTCACAAAGTAGCCTTATCTCCTTCAAAATACTGTCCACTACAACTAATACACTTGTCCCTAAGGTGCTTCCACTACTCGAAACATTTTTTGCAGTCTGACAGCTCCTTACTCGTTTTTTCCTCGACCTCTTCAATGTCTCCTGACGCCACAAATCGAGTCTTTTTTGTCGAACACTGTTTCGCAATCGTCTTAATAATAAATAATAGCACAAGCTCTCAAATTTTTTCAACATTTTCGTCGATTCGGGTAGTTGATGGACGTGCAGAGCGAGGTTTGTCATCAATCGACATGTCGCCATTATTAAATCGAGCAAACCACTCGTAGACCAGAGTTTTTCTCACAATCAGTTGGAAACAGCCCGTTCGCTTGAACAGTTTGACGTGCGAGATAATCTTGAAAAATGACTGGACGCGGTAAAGGCGGTAAAGGATTGGGAAAAGGAGGATCGAAAAGACATCGTAAAGTTTTGAGGGATAACATCCAGGGAATTACGAAACCGGCCATACGAAGATTGGCGCGACGTGGAGGAGTGAAGCGTGTATCCGGATTGATTTACGATGAAACTCGAGGAGTGCTTAAATTAAAGTCTTCTTAGAAAACGTAATCAGGGATGCAGTCACTTACACCGAGCACGCTAAAAGGAAGACAGTCACTGCAATGGACGTCGTAGTATATGCATTAAAGAGACAAGGACGCACTTTGTACGGATTCGGTGGTTAAACACTCCGCAGCAATTACTACGGAACAGGTTGAACGAAAATACAAAAAAAACATACAATCTTCGTAAGCTATTTCCAACATTAAAACAGTTTCAGCAGTATTTTTACCAATTAGAAAGCAAAATTTCAGTGTTGCTCACTGCTTGCCATCGTAAAAAACGAAACAAGCACGAAACAGCTCTAGCAAAAATAATGACTACAGAGGAACGAAACAATCCAGATCGCCAACTCGGGTGGCACTGAACTGGTAATGAGTTGTGCTGTACGCATCTAGGGGCAAAAATGTGTACACAAGCTCCGCCGATTGCAATGCTATTCCGATTATTTTTGGGTACCTTCTCGTAAAGAGAATTGTGATCTTGCCAACATATTAATTGATTTTTGTAAGAGGCACATGTTGAAGATTAATCCGGATAAGAGTCTTGCGTGCTTTCTTGTCCTAAGCTCTAAGCACTTGTATAATAGAGTAAGGGACAGGATTGCATTAAGCATCAACAATGAGCTCATTCCTATCGTGGAACAACCAAAAAATCTAGGTGTTATCTTCAACTCTCATTTAAGATTTGACAAATATGTGTGTCATCTACCAAAGACACCTACATCAAATTAAGACTGCTATATGCTAATATATTCACTTTGAACTTTAAAATGTGTAAGAAGCTAGTTGAAAGTTTGATGTCCAGCCTTAACTATGCTTTAACTTCAGATTAACCTTGTCTCGATGAATCAGTGTAGGATCCAAAGAATGCAAAACAACTGCAGTAGGTTTGTGTATGGACTTTGAAAATATAGACATGTCTCTTCAAAAATGTTTCACTTTCAATGAGGTGAGGTTGTACAACTGAACCCACCCTGTCTAGAGAAGCAAGTGTTGTTTTTTTTTTTTGTATTATCATCCATCCAGTTGTTGCTGTCTGGTTCCTTTTTGGTAAACCAACAAAGTGTGGATTTATCAATTGAACGTTTTTTTTTTCATTTTATTAGTTCACTCAGTTGAATATCAACTCAATGTATTACTTTGAATTGTATATACATATTTCCTTGCACAAAAGGGTTGGGTGTAACAGTAGCCAACTGGCTAAACTTCACCCTATTGTTGTGATACTAATAAAGACATTTTATTATTATTATTAAAATTCCACTTTAGATGTTTTCAATAAGAATTTTTTCGTCCACGGTGTAGCACAGGCACGACCGGGAACCGACACCCAAATTTTCGCGAAGAACGGGAATAGGGGAAGACAGATGTGACGTCGTCCGAATGTCAAAAAATCACCTGGTACGGGTACCCGCCTAACGTCTGTGAGGTACTAGCGGGTGACAGGTCTTATGTCAATATCATTTAAAAAACAGGCATCTCGATTGAAAATTTGTCTTCGCAGTGCCGAAAATTGAGTTAAATTACTAAATCATAAATGGAGGAACAGGTCCACCTGATTTTAAATGGCGAGGGAGAAAGTCATCGAAGATATATGAACCGTACTTGTCATATCATATGATTGATTTTATTGATATATATGTACATTGCACCAAAAGCAATCTGTCTTTTTATTTCAGATTCAAACAAGGCAGCTAAGTTTATCAAGGAGCTTAAAGCAAACTTTTTGATTCAAACAAGGCAGCTAAGTTTATCAAAGAGCTTAAAGCAAACTTTTTGCGCAACATGCTGCATCTAACCACTACCGAAACTGTCAAAACTTCGAGAGGAAAGGGAAATTCCATCTGTTCCCGCTCCGGTTCACTACGGGATCTCGCGAAAAAATCTCTAATGTAAATACTTGGGTATCTATTCACACACTCTTAAAGAAAACAGACACACTTCCTGGGTTAAAGCCAACAGTACTACATTTTGGGATAGAAGGTCATGCAACTTCTTCAGTTTTAAACACTACGACACTACAAAAACCAAATCATCTAACCCAAACAACTTATTACCCATCAAAGTTCGAACTCGTGCAGTCATAAACGTGATCCCGATTATTTTTCATCCTGAGAAATTCATCACAATTGTCGCATCCTTCGTATTCGAACTGTTCAAAAGACTGCAATAGATAAATTATTCTAAATTTTGCAAAAAAAGTGTTTAAACAATATACCTTTATCAGAGAACATACTAGGCAAGCCCTCAGTCCTCTAAGGTCTTTGGGAATGGTTTCTAGAGTCATTTTTGAATGGAACTCGCAAATTTTGATTGAATATATGTAACCCCAACTATCACAACTTTTGGCTTGAAAGAAATGGAAAAAGCCACAAGAATAAGCAGCGGAAAATCTCTAACCTAACCACTTCCACCGAATAATCAAAACAAAAGCATTGAAAACCGGGATCAGCTGATCATTTCATATTCATAGAAGCTGAAATGGGCAGGAGGTGACAGAGCCTGATCAAACATAGTAATGAGTAATGACCTAATGACATGGTATCATTTTTGCCATATTGTTACTGTCATCACGTGATTAGAACCTGCATCGACTGGCCTCGCCATTGGTTACTTTGGCTATCTTATTGCTTCACCCACATTTCACCTGTATTTCCACGTGGTTTGCACACACCAAGCAATAGCATACTTTATTCCACTTCATCTAGCCTTTGCCATCACAAAACGTTCTGCGATCTGGGATGGCAATAATCAAATTCAAGCGGATAACCAAATAGAAATAGTATTTACCATTTTGGGTTGGTATTTACCGATCATCGACTTTAAAACGAGGATAGACCCCTTTGCTTACATTTCTGGTTGTTGACGACATATACAAAGCGAATCGACACGTTGCCTCGCCGCAAGAAACGGCAGCAAAACAACGGATTTGTTCGTGGTCGTTCTACACATTTTCAAACCTCCAGCCTCCAGTAACTAAAATTATTCCCTGTTTATGGTGATTTTTCAGCGCATGTGTGGGTACTAAACATCATGATTCTCGTACAATGGATTGATATCAAAATAGTCAAACAAGTAAGAACCTTACATAAATTATACCATAATCGACTTGAAGATCTGGCAACGTTGCTTTTATCTGCTCATTCATAATTTATCCACATCGTAAGAAAATAGTATATTGGTAGCACTTATTTAAGTTACTAAACAACTGCCATTTTGTGTCAATTGTCAAAGTTTGTTTTGATAGTGAATTTCCTTGCTGCTTTTATTCATTTTAGAGAGACTATAAAGGTATATTCAATCGCAATAAAATGGTGCAGCAGTGCTATTTGTGTAAAATTTATAAACATCAGGCTGGAGCGGAATCTTTAAAATTTCATTCGTAAGTATACATCTTGTTTATGTTCAGAGGCGTATCATGGCGTCTCATTATCGAGAAACTTGTTGATAGCTTTCGATTTATAACTGTAATATTCGAAATTCTAGCCTTCCCAAGAACCCGGAAAGGAGAAAAAGGTGGTTGTCGGCCCTTGGATTCGAGGAAAACCATCAATTTCCTAAGAGGGTGGAGCTATGTTCCAAGCATTTTGGAGAAAATGCGTTTGTTTATGGAAGTGAGGGACAAAAGACACTCAAGCGGGATGCGATTCCTCTCATCTCTCATTCTTTGTTTGATCCTGCAGTAAGCACCAGGTAAACTCTTAATACATAATAGACTAGTTTTTCTAATACAGTAAACAAAAAAGAATAGTTGTATTTAATAATATTTAACAACCACTCATTTTGATTCTGATTCTATCTGCTGTTTAACTTTTCATATAAGATGTTTCTGATCTAGGTATTTCCTAACTTAACTGTTATGGATTTAGGTAAATTTAGCTATAATTAGTGTTATATTTTGGCAATTTCACAGATAATAGACAGATATAAGACATACTCTATAATCTATCAGCAATCAAGAAGAGCTAACATAATATCTGCATCTTATGAGCTGAAATGAAGATGATGCTTATTTCTTACATTACATTGCTATGAAAACAGTGACAGTACATTTGATTGATTTGGTTTGTTTAAATCACAATGCATTAAACTGAGTTGCTCATACTTTGGTTAAAACTATAGTTCCTTTTGATTTTTGTGTATTTTTTATATATGTGCATTGATTTTTATAACTCATACTATTATTTAGTGTTTAATTTCCTGAAGTACTTCTATGCATTAGTATCTCACTATGTAGAAGTCCCTAATTTGGTTTTGTATATATATATGCTTTATTCTAGTTCAGAATCATCTGTAAGCCCAGAGAAGCAAGAAGACTCAGATTGTATATATATCTGCCATTTCAATCACTTGTGAGGGGACTCCTGCTAAAAAAAGGTAAGTTTAATTTATATTCTCTATCATGTTATTTTGTAGTATATTGAAATTTCTATGAAATTGAACATTTCTGAAGTCCTACATCCATATGGAAGCATTTTATATTTGCTGAATTGATATCGTAGATGGAAAAAATACCACCATTGTAGGTTCAAGTACAACAAGAAGGTATTCAGGAAATTATCTAGGGTTTTGTAATGATTTAAATAGAGCTTACCTCAATCTGTACCATAAAAAAGATGATGAAGTTGAAACTCATTCAGTTTGATATATGCCTTAATGCCTTATGCCTTACTAAATGTTTGATCAGTCCTAATCAGCAGTATTCTTTTCATAGCACTTATTTATTTGTTGTTTACAGGTTATTCATGGATGAAGAGATGTATAACTTTCCTGGCTCATCAAGTAAAGAGTTAGGCTTATTAAACATTTGTGCTTTTATACTGTTACATAGGAATTAATTTTCTTCTTTGTAGGCAATATGTCCATACTTCCTCAACATTATCAGCATCAGAAAGTGATAGTGCTACTAAAACTGCTGGAGTACAAGAACATATGCTTGATAAGAAAAAAAGAAAGAGGTGAGAGTAGTTTATCACTTATTCTATATCCTGTAATACATAATACTGCAACATACAGAATGATTGGTTTACAGTTTAATAGGTGGTAAGAGGATTAATAACGTTTGTTTTAGTTTTTAGATAGCCTAGGTTTGTCTTATATTCAAAACTTTGTTCTTATATGACTGCTACTATTTTGATTATAATTATTATATGTCTATTTAATATGTGTACCCAATATGTTTTCATAGTAACACATAAAAATTTTATCAAAAGTGATAAACTGCTCGATATATACATTTCAGCTGATACTTAGTGTATTTTTATGAATGAAGATATGAAAATGAGCTATGTGATTATATTAAAACTTATTTGGGGTCTCGATAATCATTCCATGTTCCCTGATTTGTTACATTTTGCAATATATATATATATATATATATATATATATATATGTGTGAATAAAAATAGAACATAATAACTTGGAGTTTCTATTTTAAAGGCTTTTGTATCCTGCCCACTCAATAGAGTTCACGTAAGTATTCCAATTGAACTAGATATTGCACAAATATGAGTAATATATTTGTTAGTACACAACTTCGTACCGTTTTTTTTTTGTGATGCTCTTGATTTAAATACGCTTATTTTGTCACCCTTATACGTATTGTATGCTACGCCTATGTGTAATTGTACCAATGATTATACATAGAGTCTTCAGTGACGTGAGGTTTCACAACCTGAATTCTCATGCGGCGGCCATTTTATTGTTCCCCTCTCATTCCCTCATAGCCCCTCGCCGCCACTTTGTGCTTTGTTTATGTCGTCAACGAATCTAATGTAGTTTTATGAATGACTTGCTGGGTCTATCCTTGTTTCAAAGTCGATGTTACCGATCCGTTCAAGCGAGTGTATATAGTGGATACCAAATAAAACCCGATGCACGTCATCGATCTGGAGCTGTGCGCTGTTGCCAGAATTGATATGAGCTCTTTACACCGACTGTTAAGTTGTTTTGGCATTTTGGATACTTTATACCACTTCACAGTAACTTTTGTTCTGAAAAGAACAACTTTTAATTGGCAAGGCAACGATTCAAAGCTCAAATAGCGCAAAACTCACAAACTAAACAATAAAGAACTAATAGTACGACAAAAGGACAATGGCAACTGATGTCAACAAATGAGAAGTGGCAACCTCACATTTCTCTGCACGGCACTACCAACCGAATCGAGACGGGGAAATTTAAACTTCAAGTAGAAATGTCACATTGAATGTAGTCAACTGTTGGTATCCATGATTTTTATGAATGACATCACCTATGACGTGCATCGGATTTTATTTGGTATCCACTATAAGTTTGGTTATAAGATCCGTGACGTCACGAATCAGCTGTTATGTTATATGTCATAGTTATCACCGCAAAATTGTGGTATGGTGGATACCAAATAAAACCCGATGCACGTCACCGATCTGGAGCTGTGCGCTGTTGCCAGAATTTGCACATTTTCTTTTAAACAAATAAATTTAATAAAATAAATTGTTTATATATACCTACCATTTACTATAATACCATTATATTAAAAATAAATAAACTTGTTGTAAAATTACATTCCTTTCTGAATAAAAACACCTGATTTTGGTAGATATTCAATGATATGAGCTCTTTACACCGCCTGTTAAGTTGTTTTGGCATTTTGGATACTTTACACCACTTCACAGTAACTGTTGTTCTGAAAAGAACAATTTTTAATTGGCAAGGCAACGATTCAAAGCTCAAATAGCGCAAAACTCACAAACTAAACAATAAAGAACTAATAGTACGACAAAATGACAATGGCAACTGATGTCAACAAATGAGAAGTGGCAACCTCACATTTCTCTGCACGGCACTACCAACCGAATCGAGACGGGGAAATTTAAACTTCAAGTAGAAATGTCACATTGAATGTAGTCAACTGTTGGTAACCATGATTTTTATGAATGACATCACCTATGACGTGCATCGGATTTTATTTGGTATCCACTATATTTACCCAACTCGAGAGTAGTTTTATATTTCTGGTTATTATTTGAAATGTGACTTGCCGGGTATTGGATATTGTTATTGTACTTCAGCTTCATTTTTGAGAAAAATGATACAGGCTGGCTTCAGTTTTACCATAAAGTGGAGCACCTTATTAGTTATACTCATTACGGTTGTTGGGGACATTTTAAATGTAGTTCCTATGCTTAACAAAGTATCCTGTGTAACCATATACCACAAGAATATTAAAATATGGCCATATAAACTCACTAGATGATATCCACCTGTATACGGTTTTGCTAATTTCTTTTTTCATCATTTCTGCTGAATCAATAAATGTTTTCTTTGACATGCGGAAAAATTTAGAGAATTGAAAGTTATCATAGCTACGAAGCCATGGTTCCATCATTAAAAAAAATCTGAAAAAAAAACATTTCTCCCATGAATATTATGAAAGGTTTCTTATTTAAACTTTCCATACACAGTTGTAGACGAAAAAGCACCGATTATTCAGAGATAATAAAAATAATCCGAGATTATATACGCGCTTTTCTAAAATAAACAATTTGCAACAAAACCGCGGTTAAAACCAACGCGTTCAAGCGATTCGTGTAACTGACGTCATCAACCCGTGTGTCATCTTGAACCATATTATAACCGCGGCACATAACACAGAAATTTTGGTTATTCGCTTGGATTTGATTTATGGCTTTGGCTTGGCTGAGATCTTGACTGTGCTTGATACTTGATGTATTTGAGGTTAACATCACTTTGACATGTTTTTGAATCGTTTCGAAAAATTGAAAACATGAGTTATCGCTATGAATGTTATCTAAATTTCAAATCAACGATATGAACGTATTTGAAAGCTTGATATATCTTATGGTTCTTTGTACCACTATTAATGGAAGTAGCAATGAAGATGAACAAGATGAATTTTTAGCAACTAAGGAATGGCAAGTTATAAAAGAAGGTTGGTATAGTAGGATATATTATTAAAATAAATTGAATGATCATTAAAACTGTGGATTAAACTAACCTACTAACAACCAAAATTAATTTACAGGGCAAAAAGTACCTAAGGGGTTACACTACAGAATTAATTTTGAAACTGGTGTTAAGGAAGCAAAACTTCTAGATGATGAAGATGAACAAAGTAGAAAAGAAAGAAAAAATGAACTTTTAGAAATACCAAATGATGAAGAAAATCATGCACTTTTGGACACTGAGATCATAAAACAGGCTATCAAAAAAATAAAAGATGATGATGTCAAAAAAGCTGAAAAGAACACTGAAAAATTTCGATCATTTGAGGAATTGAAAAAAGATTTTGGAGATCTAAATATGATTCCAAAAATGGATGTAGAAATATTAATTGATTTGATGAGGCAACATAAAGATGAACTAGCAAAAGACAAAATTGATGCTCCTGCGGTAGTTAGGATACTTGAAGATTTTGATTTCCTAGCTCACCAAATTGATAATGGAGTAGAATTTATCAAGCAAGATGGATTGCAAGAAGTTATTTACAAAAATATTAATTCTACAATCAATGAAGTTAAAGAAGCAACATTGAACTTATTTGGTTCATTATTGCAAAATAACCCCAAAGTTCAAATAAGTGCTTTAGAAAGTGGGGCCGTAACAATTTTACTGAGAACTCTTTCTACAGAGAAATCAAGCCAGGTTCAGACTAAAGCATTTCATGCCTTGAGTTGCCTTCTGAGAAGGTTTCCCCTTGCTCAACTGAGATTTGTTAAAAATGGAGGATTAGCTGTCATTTCAAAGCTATTTGAAAACAGCTCATTGAAGTTACAAGTGAAACTAGTAACTCTCATGAATGATTTGATTATAGAGAACATGCAAGCAGCCAGATATAAGCAAAACTCTGCTTTGAAACAGTATGAGGCGGTGGATCTACAATCTAAGCTTTTAAATGAACAAAACTGGTGTGAAAATTTAAACCAATTACTCATAAGGTTGTTTTCTGCTGATCCTGAGGATCATGATTTGCTAGAGAAATGCATAATTGCCATGCATACAACATCAGAAGAGTGTTCTTCTGTTTATAATACAAATCTTTTGATCCAAATGATGCAGAGATACAAAGCTTTGGAAGAGAATGAAAAAGCTGAAAATGAGTCTAGTGATGGTTATTTTAACAGTTTACATAATTTAATATTGGAGATTTTAAATGTGAAACATGTCAAAACTGAGTTGTAGCAGTTATTATGTATAATTATTTTATGTTGTTACAAATATACAATGTCAAACAACTGGTATTTTTTCCTGCATATTTGCCTCATACACAGCAATTTTTAGATTTAAAATATTAACGCCCTTTCCATCATTAGTCCATGTGATCGACAAAGATAGCAAACTTTATTCTAAGCTACTTTTTACACTTGACTACCTTTATCAGTATTGTAACAAGAATGAATAGTACTGTTGGCGCCATCTGTCGGGGGCCGCGCCAGACTCTCCTTCGGTGCTGGCGACATCTAGATAGATATCGCCAGAAAACAAAGACAGACGTGTTTACTGTGTGCTCTTAGTTTTTGGTGATTTTAAATGGTAATAACGTGCGTTTTTTCTCCAATTTACATGTGCGTGAGCGTAGTAACGCGTTAGTTGTCGTTGTATACTTTTTTTTTTTTTTTTTTTAATGAAGTGAACTGCTTTCTTCAATCAATTATGGCCGATAAATGTGCAGAATGCCAGTCGCTGGTAAACCGTTCCAAGCCAGGTATATCGTGCAGTGGTTTTTGCGATCAGTTTTTTCACATTTCTTGTATGGGAATTCCATATGACGTATTGAAGGTAATTAAAACACCTGGTTTATTTTGGTTTTGCCCATCCTGCGTTAATAAAAGAACGGATTTGGATTTTGTGTCTACTAGGATAAATAAAAAGGTCGATGCACTTATTTCCAATATCCATGAGTCATTTAACGAAGCAAAATCTGTTCTAATAAACAAGATTGATGAACAGTTTGATCAAGATACCTTAAGAAGGATGCCTGCGACGGATGCTTCATATGCAAACATTTTGAAAAAAAATGTGAATTTAATTGTTAAGCCAAAAAACAACGATCATCCTCATGCAGCGACAAGACTTAAGATGCGTCAGTCTGTTGATCCGGTAACTAATAACATTAAATTTTCTCAAGTAAAAAACATAAAAAATGGTGGATTACTTATAAAGTGTGATGGATCTGAAGATGCCAGCAAATTGAAGGAGTTGGCTTCATTGCACCTTGCTGATGATTATGAAGTCAAGGAAGCGAGGAAGTTTAACCCCCGTTTGAAAATTGTAGGAATGTCTGAGTGTATTGACAAAGAACAGCTCAGTGTTATACTGAAGTCTCAGAATAGTGTATTTCAAAATGATAGTGAGTGTACTGTGTTAAAAGTGTGGCCAACTAAGAAGTCAGGTGATGTTTTTCAAGCTATTCTAGATGTTGACATTGCTACATACTCGAGTATTCTTAGTCGAGGCAATCTGATTGTTAATTTTGAAAGCTGCATTGTATATGATGCAATCAGTCTGAGGTTGTGTTTTAAATGTTGTGGGCACAATCACTACGCTAAAAATTGTAAAAGCAAAGTTCAAGTTTGTGTAAAATGCTCTTTAGATCATAAATTATCTGAGTGTAGGTCGGCCTCTTTGAAATGTATCAATTGTGTCAATGCTCGACTTCCAAATTCGAATCATGCTGCTTGGGATGCAGACAACTGCACTTTGTATATGAAGAAACTGGCAGAATATAAAAAATCTATTATTGGTGATATATAGCAACTATCTTGTAAACAGTTAGAGCCAACTTATGTGAATGTTGATGATTCTGTTGCACTTAATCAGACGGATTTCTCTATATATTACCAAAATGTCAGAGGGATAAAAACTAAGCTGAACACGCTATTAAATGCTTCATATGCTAGTTCTTACGATTTGTTAGCTTTGACTGAAACTTGGACAGATGATAGTATTAATGATGCAGAGTTTATGAGTAGTGATTATTGTGTATTTAGATCAGATAGAAAATATGTACAAACTGGCCAAACTAGGGGAGGTGGTGTTTTATTAGCGATTAGTAAGGTATATGAGGCACATGAAGTAACCATTGCATCTTCAGTTTTAGAAATTGATATTGTTGGGATTAAGATTCAGCTTGCTCGTAATGCTATCTACGTTATCCTCGCTTATATTCCTCCTAATATGCACCTAGATGCTTTTGAATCTTTTGTTGATGACATTTTGGCGATTGATTTTTTTGGTCCAAATGATTTTGTTATTTTTCTTGGAGATTTCAACATTCCCAGTTACGTGAATAAAATGTGGGATGATTCTTACAATGATAACTACTTATATGCTATCTCTAGTATGAGCAGTTTCTTTAATTTAGCCCAATACAATCGTATTCGTAACGAATATGATCGTATACTGGACTTAGTCTTCTGTAATAATTATGTTCATGTGAGAAATGCATCTGATATTCTTTTACCAGTTGATAGGCACCATCCTCCGATAGAAGCGCTCTTTTCACTTCCGCGCTCTCTGAATAACGTACGCCCAAATAATAATAATCCGCAATATAACTTTAGGAAAGCAGATCTTCCTGCACTCTACACCACTGTTATGGATTCAGATTTCTCTTTTCCATCGGACATCCTCGACATTAATATTGCTTGTGACCTGTTTTATAGTAAATTGTATGACGCTTTCGATAGGCACGTTCCATGCACATTACCAAAGGATAACAGATACCCTCCCTGGTTTTCTCGTGCAATAATCTTTAAAATATCAAAAAAAGCATCGCCTCTGGAAGCGATACAAGAGTACTTTGGTTAGATCTGACTATGAAGCTTTCAGTAACCTGCGAAGAGCCATCAAAATTGATATAGACTTGGCGTTTTCTAATTTTGTTGCGAGGACTGAGCGTGCCCTTGCGCAAAACCCCAATCAATTTTGGTCCTTTGTTAACTTGCGCAGCAACAGATCAGGCATACCCAACAATATGTCTTTGGAAAATGAGGAGTTCAGGAATCCACAGGAAATTGTTGATACTTTTGCCAAGTATTTCCAGTCCACCTACATCACGTCTTCTCAACCATCTGCTGATTGTTCCGTTACAGTAAATATATCGTATCTTCCTTTAGTGACTATTAATGTAGAGCATGTACGGAATGCAATGAAACGATTAAAGCCTAAATGTTCCACTGGCTTGGATTCCATACCTTCATTTTTTCTAAAAGACTGTGCGTGTGTTCTTGCTGAACCTTTGACATATCTTTTCAATTTGTCCTTGAAATCTGCCACCTTTCCTAGAAAATGGAAATTGTCTAAAATAACACCTGTTTTTAAGAAAGGCGATCGATCGCAGGTAGAGAATTACAGGGCTATTGTTATTTTAAGTAATATTGCCAAAATTTTTGAGTTTGTTCTTTTTGATATTTTGTTCTCTCATGTAAGTCGGTCAATATCGACGAGTCAACATGGTTTCTATAAGGGTAGATCTACGTGTAGTAATTTGGCATGTTTTAAGCAGTACTCCGCATCAGTTCTGGATAATGGCGGGCAAGTTGATGTAGTCTATACTGACTTTTCGAAAGCTTTCGACCGTTTGGATCACGGTGTTCTATTGCAGAAGTTGTCTAAGTACGGCTTAACATCTAGATTCTTAGCTTTCTTTCATTCATACATCAGTGATAGACAATTATGTGTGGACTTCCGTGGATATAAGTCTGGTGCGGTTTTAGCTACATCAGGGGTGCCTCAAGGTTCTGTTCTGGGTCCCCTATTATTTTTAATTTTTATAAATGATGTTATAACAGACTTGCGTTGTGAGTACTTGCTATATGCCGATGACCTCAAAATTTTTAATAGCGTTTGTTGCTCAGAAGACAGTTTAAAGTTACAAGCTGATTTGAATGTCATTGATCACTGGTGTAAAGTAAATAACATGCACTTGAATGTCAATAAATGTACTACTATGACGATTACACGTAGGGTGGAACCAAGATGTTTTAATTTTGAAATCGGTAGCAATGTTCTTTGTCGTGTTAATATCGTCAAGGATTTGGGAGTATTATTCGATCAAAAGCTTTCTTTTATTGATCACATTAATGCAATAATAGCAAAAGCATTTAAAAATCTAGGATTTGTTATAAGAAACAGTAGACATTTCAATAATAATAATACATTAATTTTACTTTTTAATGCTTTTGTCAGATCTATTTTAGAATACTGTTCGATTATCTGGTACCCGGCCTATGATATACACTGTAGAAACATCGAGAGAATCCAACGTCGTTTTGTGAAATACTTATGGTTTAAAGATGATAGAGCGTACCCTGAAAGAGGTATACGCAATGACATTCTCTTAAGTAGGTATAATTTATCTAATTTAGTCAAACGTAGGAATCTGTTAGCTGCTAAATTTTTATGTAATTTGTTGAATGGAACAATTGATTGCCCTTTTCTTTTAGACAGGATCTCTCTACGCGTTCCCGATTTGCGTACTCGTCATGGTGGTAACAATTCATTTTATTTACCTGTTCCGCGGACAAATTTATTGTTATTTTCTCCTCTTTATGTTATGTGTAATGTCTGTGACAGTGTAAGTGAACTTGATACGTTTAGTACCTCCAAAATCAATCTCAAGAGTTTATTTTTAACAATTGGATAATTTATGTTTATGTTTATACTGCTTACATTTTTGTTTTTGTATCACTTTTTGTTTTTTCCCTGCCTGTTAATTGGAACAATCTGTTCAGGCAGTGTATGGATTATAAATAAATAAATAAATAAATAAATAAATCTGTTGGGGACCACGCCAGACTCGACTTCGGTGCTGGCGACATCTGTTGAGGATCATGCAGGGACTTTCTTTCGAGACCGACGCGAAGTGACCTCGAAGATTCTAGACTGCCGTATGTGGCACACGGAATTAACCTTCTCGAATAAACGAGTACCTGCGATACGGACTATATAATTCGTCGGCCGAGAGAGGAAAGCAGAGTAGAGTATAGTTCAGTGAATGGCGCGACATAATAATCCGTGAATAAGTAGTCAGTCATAAATAGTGGTGTACATAAATGTTCTATCTAGTCAAGTTAAATAAATTAGTGCTTTTCTTTTTGTGAAATCCAGTGTTTTAATCTACACCCAAAAAAACCAGAAAAACGCTACATTGGTGTCAGGTGTGGGGGTTTGGATTATTGGACATTTAGTGAAAATAAATCGGAAGATCAGTGAAGGAAGAATGGCGCGGTTGGTTGATCTGAAAATTGCCGATTTAAAAAGAGAGCTGGAGGAAAGAGAGTGCGACACGGCTGGAAGGAAAGCAGAATTACAGGAGCGGCTTCGTCAAGCACTGATTGAAGAAGGCGAGGACCCGGATATTTTTATTTTTATCGGTGCAGGGGATATTGGTTTAATACTGCAAAGCCTTTCGACCAAGTTAGAAAACAAGCTCATGGAAAATTGTACCGGTCTTTTAAAAAACTCGACCAAGTTAGAAAAAAGACTCGTGGACTAAATTGTGCCAATCTAGAAGGAAAGCTCGTGGAAAATTGTGCCGATCTTTTAGAAAACTCAGCCAAGTTAGAAAATAGGCTCGTGGAAAATTGTGCCAACCTAGGAGGAAAACTTTTGGAGTTACACGAAAGAACAGCCAAATTAGATGAGAAGTTTTTGGAAAATACTGCCAATTTAAAAAAAAAATGGAAGATAAAATTATGGAAAAATCTTGCGAGTTGGAAAAACGGATTTTAGAAACCTTGGACGGCAGAATTCAAGAAGGGCGGGACCCTCTCCAGAAAGTGAAGCAAGGAATAAATACATCATTGTGGTAATGGATTACTTTAGCAAGTTGGTTGAGGCATACGCTCTGTCAAATCAGGAAGCCTCTACGGTAGCCGATGCTTTAGTAAAAGAATGGATCTGTCGATTTGGTGTACCTTTGGAGTTGCATTCGTACCAAGGGCGCAATTTTGAGTCAAATCTGTTCCAAAATATTTGTCAAATCCTTGGGATTAAGAAGACAAGGACTACTGCCGTACACCCGCAGTCAGATGGAATCGTGGAGCACATGAATAGGACCATTAACCGGTATTTGGCCAAGGTAGTCTCTAGCTATCAAAGCGACTGGGATAGTTTTCTTCACCTCTTCTTATTGGCTTACCGACAGTCGATTCCTGAAAGCACAGAAGAGACCCCGGCTCGAATAGTTATGGGAGAGAACTTCGTTTCCCATGCGATGTAAAATTTGGCTGTCCACCAGGAACTGATATTGCCGGAGAAGACTACTTCGTAAGTGAGCTGCGTAGAAGAATGGACGCCAGCCAGCCAGGTTTGTATTTCAATTCAAGGTGCCAGCGACCGGATGAAGGAAGCTTATGACGTGAATGCCAAAGACCAGAGGTATGATAACGGTGATACGGTTTGACTTTTCGACACAAAGAGGCGAAAAGGGCTGTCGAATCAACTTCAATCATCTTGGGACGGGCCACATAAAGTTCTGGAAGCCATCAACGATGTTCTCTACAGGATTCAGAAGACACCACGCGGTAAAGCCTGAATTGTACATTTCAACCGACTTGCCCCTTATCATGGAAACAACGAAGATGAGGCGGTGCGGCAAATCCAACCAGAACTGACATGACATTTGACCAATTTATGGCTCACTGTGGCTCACCATGCTAATGGCCTTAAGAGTCGGTATGGCGTGACATGTGAAGTACAGCAAAATCTGTTTACCACTTAACCAGAGTATGCCCTGGCACACTGTCTGGCTAAGACTTGCAAATGTCGAGAGGTATAGCAAAGGTCTTTCTCAGGAAGTTTGGAAGAGTGCACGAGCTGCGACAATCTAACCCGGAAGTCGGAGAAGTAATCCAGATAACTGAAGAGGGTACCAACCGAAAGATCTTCTACCTGGTTGCCAATAAAGCTTCGTATCAGAAACCGAATTACGATGATGTCTGGAGCGCTTTGAGCTAGCCAAGGATCCTTGGCTGGCATGTGGACTGGACAACCTGGACTGGAGAATCATCCGAAGCATGTTTGAGGTAGTCTTCCGGTATACAGGCATTCGATTTCTGGTATGTTCTCACAGTCCTAGACGGCTACCTCCTGGAAAGAGTGTGGATTGTTACTTCTTCAAGAACTCCTACTGCAAGAAAGGGCAGTCGTGCCGATACCGACTTCCACCACCAGTAAGATCATTCCGGGACGGAATGACTTTAGGGAGCAGGGGGCAGTGTAACAGTGAATAGTACTGTTGGCGCCATCTGTTGGGGACCGCGCCAGACTCTCCTTCGGTGTTGGCGACATCTGTTGAAGATCATGCAGGGACTTTCCTCCGAGATCGACGCGAAGTGACCTCGAATATTCTAGACTGCCGCTACATTGCATCATTGGTTCGCTTGACAACATCGCATCTCGTACACTCCAAGGCAAGGTTTCCACCTCCATGATCATAGATACGCGATTTTGGTCAGTACTCATCTAGCGCTCATTGGGGAGTGTCGACCTGCTTCGAAACGGTTTTCACCTGCATACAGTAGTGATAATTTTTATTGCGTAATGGTATTTGTTACATTTGACGACAGCTTTCTAATGTTATTTAGAAGATTTGAAAATGAAATAAAACACCCCACAATATTCCAAAGGTTTTATTTTCTCCTAGAACATATTATATACCCTCAAAAATTCCCGAAAGGAAGTAAAATTGCCCAAATGTTGGGGATAATACTCCAACAGGGCAACCCTGTAATCTGCCTATCGCCTTCATTTACTATGGGTTTCTCCTCCACTGTAGTAGAGGAGCTGACGGCAATTTTTTTGTTACATCATCGCGTACTGATAAAATTAGTACTTCTTAGTCCTAAACAGCTTCTTCCCAGCAGCTGCCACTACTGACGAGATGTGTTCGTGCCAGATCAAGTCCTCGGTGATCTGTACCCAGACCAGCCGAAATGAACGGCTCTTTGGTATAATTCGGTCATCCATCGAAACCGGATGAACACTAGGACGATTCTTGTTCGTCAAGGTACAGTACTGGTGGTAAACGGTACAAGATTGTTGCGTCCCCAAGCAGTGATAACCTCCAGGTCTCTCGTCAGAGAGGAAGCGACTGTTAGTCTCGGTATATATACATGGAGAGTCATCCAAGTGCGGATGCTTGGTAGAAAGTCGAGCCATCTATGCAGAAATCGCCAAACCAAAGACAATCCGCCACATATTCTTGTTCTTTTTTTCGTAAGCCAGTAATACTCCAAGAGCCGATCGCAAAGTTTTGGTTACATTATCGCCTACTAACATGATACAATAAGAACTCGGCAAGTTATACAAAATATATGTATGAAGGATTTATCGTATATCAGAACGTGATGACACAACCTATTATAATGCATAAGAAACCCTGGGCCAATGGAATTGACCGGCAGATTATGAAGACGTTTTACGAAGTGTCTTACCTTGATATTTGATATTACTTTGTTTGTACCTAGTATCTACCACAACACATGTACATTGTACCTACTTTCAGTGAACAGATATTATTAAATCAATGACGCCTTACCCATGGTGAGATGGGTAAGACGTCATTGTATTAAATACAAACTTCCTTTATCGCCCTGTATAAGGAGTAAACGTGTGTCGCCGATAACGAGCCACATGATAAGCCGTCCCTTTCTCAATTGGTGGACTCTAAACGTCAATCTATCAAAAACGCCCTTCTTTTCAACTGACATTTGCGACTCTAATTTGTTGTTCTGTGTAGCTGCCTGTCGCTTGTATGTTTTCGTCTCTCATGTCAGTTTTTTCTCAAAATTCAAATAAAAAAATTGATATGTATTGTGAATCCTCCAATATTGGTAGTGAGTACCTCCAATTTTTCGCCACAAGAAAGTAATCCATCGAGAGTTATTTCGACTCGTCATCAGAAGCAATTCTATCTCATTGTCCACAGAAGGTAAAAATTCAACAGGAATGCTAAATCATAGCCGTAACAGGTGCATCCGAAATGTATATTTGTTGCGTAAACATGTTAATGTTAACACAATCAATAATCTCTGTCCAGCAACATGATTTGATTTGCTTCTATTTGTAGTTTCGGCGGCTTCCGTCTACCGAAACAGACCGATATGGAGGCCCCAAAAACATCTGACATTGTCTTGGTATCAGGAAATTCGCACCCTGAACTCTCAAATTTGATCCATAGCAGGCTTGGAGTAAAAGCCAGTGGTTGTTCTATTTATCACAAGTCGAATCGTGAGACTATGGTTCAGATTGGAGATTCAGTGAGGGGAAAAGATGTGTATATTATACAGACAGGAACCAAGTAAGTGATTGTTTTATTAATCTTTTTTCTATTTGTTCATAAAATAGTTCAAATTACTAGCATTAGTAATTGGTAAAATAAGAAAAGTCAATATGCTTGGGTTAGATCCAGTAGATAAGATTTTGTAACATCTAGTTTTTAACAAGGAGGTCTCCTCTTTCCTCCACTCCTCTCTCTCTCTCTCTCTTTGTTCCAAATTATGACACTTCTTTCACCAGCGGCAAGGAATTTTGCTCTCTCCTTATTACAAATGTAAGAAAATGGAGCTCTCTCCTATTTGATACCATGTAATGTGAAAATATTTTGTTATATTGTTTAACTAGTGAATTATTGACCAACAAGCTGGTTGAGTAATTGAATTTTATGAAAGCTTTATTGATCTATGATCTAAATTACATGCCAGTCAGGAATATTAATGTTTATCTACAAGAACCATTGTTTTTGTGAAGTTTAATGCTAGTTTTTTAAGATTAAGAAAAATGTTTCCAGAGATCATTGTTTCTTATATGTAAAGCCACTGGTTCAGTGGTGCATGACTCATTACAAATGATGATAGACTACACTATAAGCACTTAAAAAAGCAATTTTGACTTTTTATCACAAATATCCCTGGCTGAAAAGGCTATTCTTCTTAAAAACGGCTACAAAACTTGACGTTGTTTTCTGTGATAGCCACTTTGAAAATGATAGCAGTTTAGCCACTGAATAAACCATATTTCACAACTATCCATCACATTTTGATGTCCACTGAGCTGATCAGTAAGTGACATATTTGTATTAGCCTGGCAATGTTGACAATAATGAATCAGGTGTAGATCTAGTAAAACTTAGTTGTAGAGTTTTTTTTTGCAAATGAACTTTGCAAAATAAAATAGTTGTTAGTAAGTACAAAATGAATCTATAGCATACAAAAAATAAAAACAAAATAGACTATCTACTTGGCGTTGACGGAGTCACCACAATTATGTGTCATTTGTCAATATGGGTAATTTTGAAATATTATTAGATCATCAGCTGGTATTCTACCATAATGGATACTCGTGAAAAAATCAATAGCTTGTGAACCCTGCCTTAAGGTATTGAGGTTAGGAAATTTTAAACTGACAATGTTATGATGCTAACCTGAATCATGTATAGTCTTTTTTTCAAGAGTATCCATTACGGTAGAATGACAGCTGATTATATAGTAATATTTCAAAATTCCCGGCAAAAGACAGATAATTCTGACGGATCCGCCAATGCCAGGTAGACAGAACCACACTATGTTTTGGTTTTTTGTACACTACAGATTCATTTTGTACTTGCTAAAAGCTGTTTTATTTAGAAAAGTTCATCTGCAAACAAAATGCTACAAACAAGTTTTACTAGATTTACTCCTGATTCATTATTAGTCTAATCATATTAGCAAATTTCCCCAAAATAATTGTTAAGTCTGGTTTTATTGGTGCAAGTTGTTCAAGGGGGTGTTTAAAACATGGATGCATAAAATGGGTACACCAATATTTGTGGGAAAACTTTTTATTTGCCAACAAAGAATGAGGAAACGTGTTTTTTGGGATTCAATCAAGTGTTGACAGGAACAAAAAACCTTTTCATATAAGATTTTTATTTATAAGACCTACAAAATGAGACCACACATAAAAAGATCCGAGATATACTGGGTTCATTCAAAGAGCATTTAATAGCAAAATACACGTGTTTACCTTGCCGATATGAATCACAAACCATTCCGAAAGATAAATGTTAAAAAACAAAGGTTAGGTTTTTTCTTCTAAACAAATTCAAACATTTCGTTTTGTGAGCAATTGAACAAATGCGCTACGATATTCGAAAAACATACGTTACTATACACATTTTAAAACAAAGCGGATGTGTCTATCATCTTTTGTTGCGAATTACTCACAAATACGAAATGTTTGAATTTGATGAGAAGAAAAAACGTAACCCATCCTTTTTTGCATAAAAATAACATTTAGCTTCCGGAATTGTTTTGCGATTCATATCGGCAAGGCAAACTAGTGTATTTTGCTATAAAATGCCCTTTGAACTAAACCTGTATATATTGCCCAATAAGCTAGTAGTGATGGCCGGAAAACAGGTGTTTTGGGATAAACAATTAGAAATTCTCAAAAACTACTTGACCTATCTACTTCAATTTTGTTGTGGTTACTTCGAAGTACGAATCCTACGAATTTGAAGAATTTCACATATTTGCTAGAAACCATCGTCGCATTACTAACAAGTGCTAAAACCTGCAGTTTGCCTCGGTTTTCTGACATAACTTTATTGCTATTAGTTGGATCTTTCTACGTGTGGTCTCATTTTGTAGGTTTCATTAAAAGTTTTTTCGTTCCTGTCAATACTTTCATTTGAATCCCAAAAAACACGTTTTCTCATTCTTTGTTGTTGGATAAAAAGTTTTCCCACAAAAATCCGTGTACTCATTTTATGCGTCCATGTTTTGAATACCCCCTTGAACATCTTGCAGCAATAAAACCAGACTTTACAATTATGTCGCAAACTAGGGGTATTTTCATCCAATATGATTATACTATATTGCCAATGTTGCATATTAACACAAAAATGTCACTGGCTGATCAGCTGTTGACTTCAGTAGACGACAAAGCGTGATGGATACTCGTTAAATAGGGTACAATCTCATGCATAGGCAGGGTTGCCAGATGAACGAGAAATCTGGTACACGTACGAGATTATAAATTTTTGTACAAGATACCAAATTAATATAGATTTCATACGCTTTTGTACAAGATTCTAAAAATGATGAGTTCACCCTCAACATAGTGTGGAGAAGTATAATAATGCTTGCAAACATGACTATTAATGGTAAACATATGTTTCAGAAGCATGTAAATGCCTCTATCCCCCTTTAATCTGGCCTATTCACAAAATCCGTTCTTAATTGATATATCCTGTCCATAAGCTAGCTACCAGTCTGCCAAATTTCATGTTCATAGGTCAAATGGTTTTCAAGTTTTTGTGTTTAATGGGTGCGGATCTTATCGCGTCTATACAGGGTTATCCAAATTAAGTGTCCACCATTAGTAACTTTGTTATTAGTGAAAATACAAAGTTGTTTGAATTAGCAAACTAGTAGCATTTTTAACGCTGGTAAAAATGAGAAATAAAAAAAAACAATTGAGAGTCGTTATTTTGATTTTTTTCAGTAAAATAACATTTTTTTAAATGGAAACCCCTGTATATTATATTTTTTTCTGTTAAAGCATCAAATTTTAAACAAAAAAGCTTACAATAACTTTTCTCCTAGGTTACAAATTGTTGAAGTTATGGCCTCCAATCTGAAACAATTAAATTGTATCGACAAACTTTATTTTCAACATCAACTTATAATCTTACAAAATACAATAACAATTTTTTTTAAAGAAGATGCTCGAAAACACCACCTTGTTCTTCAATACATTTTTGGGCACGTTTTTCAACTGCTCGAACTGTCTTAAGTATGGTCCTACCATCTATCTGGGTTATCTTTTCCCTAACTGCAGTCTTTAACGCGTCAAGGTTATCGTACCTTCGCTTGTAAATTTGGTTCTTTAAGTAACCCCACAAGAAGTAATCAAGTGGGTTTAGATCTGGTGATCTGGGAGGCCACTGTATTGGGCCATTTGTTCCTATCCACTGATCATTAAAAGTAGTACTTAGAAAATGATAAGTACCTCTGGAGTTGTGGGCAGGTGCGCCATCTTGCTGAAAATGCAGATGATGTCTACTTATAAGATCCAATTCGTCTAAGAAATTAGTCAGAATTTCTGACATAAATTCCACATATCTTTCACCAGTTAGGGTTCCCTCATAAAAGAACGGGCCAACAATTTTTGAACCAATTATACCGCACCAAACGTTGAAACTGAAACGGACTTGTGGGCCTCTTGGATGTACTAACAAAAGATTTTCTCTTGACCAATAATGGTGGTTTTTTCTATTAAACATTCCAGAATTTGAAAAATTTGATTCATCTGTCCATAAAAGGTAACGAAAGTTATTTACATTTTGGCGACAGAAGCTAAGATACCAATGGCAAAAAACAAGTCTTCTCTCTGGATCCCCTGCCAAAAGCGTTTGAACTGGTCGGTACTTATACGGAATAAATTTGTATTTTTTTAAAATCCTTTGAACAGTACCATAACTGAAATTAGAGTCCTTGAGAATATCTGCTATTGAATTCTCACGGTAAGCTTCAAAATATCCAATAACTGCAATTTCCGTGGCCTCGCTTATTATGAATTCTTTTTTTGCCCTTGTTTTAGCAAAAACATTTTCGTTGCCCCTAAATTTTCGATAAAGTCTCAGAAAATATCGTTCATACGGTTGAATGCGAGCGGGATATAATTCACTGTAGTATTCTCTTGCTCTCAAGGAGGATTTTCTGCACACTAAATAGCATTCTAACATATCACACTTTTCTTCATGGGAGAACATTTTTCTTTAAATTAATGACACAATAAAGCTTATAAACAAGTATTTACACTAATGTTTGACATTATTTGATTTTATCATTGTTTTCCAAAGTCTTCTAGTTGCGAGTAGGTCCAGTTTAACAATTTGTCGCTTATCTTAATGCTGTCAAATCGCGAACGCCATGTTGTTTTTATAGCCGTCTTAATATTATAATACTGCAAATAATTAAAAATATTTATCGTTATTTTGACTTTATTTTTGACTTTAGCGGAAAAGTCATTATGAACTTTTTTGTTTAAAATTTGATGCTTTAACAGAAAAAAATATAATATACAGGGGTTTCCATTTAAAAAAATGTTATTTTACTGAAAAAAATCAAAATAACGACTCTCAATTGTTTTTTTTTTATTTCTCATTTTTACCAGCGTTAAAAATGCTACTAGTTTGCTAATTCAAACAACTTTGTATTTTCACTAATAACAAAGTTACTAATGGTGGACACTTAATTTGGATAACCCTGTATATCTGTCCTTAATCCCCCTGAGTCCAGTCCTGGCGCAAATTCCTTTTTTAGCTGTCGTCCGGTCCATAATAATATCCTTGAAACACCAAATAGTCTCAGGACTTAACAGTAACTCAGAGTTGGAAGTAAAATAACGATTGTAAAATCAATTTGACTTTTATTGCCCGTGATCCACTTTTTAGTGTTTGATTTTTTTGGTGAGTTATGGAAGGATAATGTGACTTTCTTTGGCGCTCTGCACGCCGCAGCATAGTAAAATTATTGAAGGCCACATAAGAAACGCGGGTACATTTTTGAATTCACCTACTTTATACTGGTTCAAACGCTGTTCGCATGGTGACGCCTACGTAATTGCCCCTCGCCCATAAGAATGCCAGTCATCTTATACTTTGAACACATATAAAGGTTCATGCCATTGAGGGGAAGAGAAAAGAAACCTAACTGTTCGCGGTTCGGTTCGCCTCAAAGGGATTGCAACCTAGAGGTGTATGCCATTTTCTATTTTATTTATACATTTTAAGATAAATCCTTTAATTTGTATATCTACTCCGTTATTTCATTGTTTATTTTAGTTAAATGTCTATGTTTATGTTGTATTTCAATGTTTGTTTATTTTTGACTATCATATACGGATGTATGTGACCAATAAAAACTGAAATTAAACTCTCTGGCAGGGTTCTTTTAGATCAATTAAGAGCACGGGTACTAATGCGACGTGTGCTTCCGCGGCGGTTTGCTCGTCTCAGTGGGCACGTAGCTTTAACATTTAACTGATAAATTTTGTTTTTGTTATTTCCTATTATGCATTCTAGAGATGTGAATAACAACATAATGGAACTTCTTATAATGGCATATGCTTGCAAAACATCATCGGCAAAGTCCATTGTGGGTGTGATCCCATACCTACCATATAGCAAGCAATGTAAAATGCGTAAGAGGGGTAGTATCGTTACCAAACTACTTGCCCAAATGATGGTCAAATCCGGACTGTCTCATATTATAACCATGGACCTGTACCAAAAAGAAATTCAAGGATTCTTTGATTGTCCAGTTGATAATTTGAGGGCTAGCCCGTTCTTGCTGCAGTATATTCAAGAAAGTGTAAGTAAGAACAGATAGTTAAAAAAACAGTTTTTTATTAATTGGACAGCGTTAGGCATGACTTGGCCTAGCGACAAAAATATTTTTTTCATGAAAACAATTCGTTAATGGCACGATTGTAACTAGTAATTGTGGTGTGAATAGAAATTGATACTGCAGATTTATGTATCTGACAATGTTTTCAAAAACTCTTTCACCTGAAACCTAAAGAAATAAAATGGCACTTCGCCAAGTAATTCGTTCAAAAAGATTTCTTATGTTTCCTTTTGTTCAATGACCACAACACGTAAATGTTACTTGGTCATGTTATGCAAAACAATTGTTAGCTTGAATGTCATATTTCATATTCTCAAACTCAAATATTGCTTATTTAGAAATTAAATGAAACGAAAAATAGTTGCACATTTCAGAAAGGTATCAATAACCTGAATTGAAAAATGTCATGCTCAAGTTGAAAATCTGGTTGACCTTCCTCTATACTTGCTTCACCAAATAAATCTTGGCATTCTTGGGTATGAGACGTAGTAATGATTTTACGTCTTCTAGCTTCTTTTCTGATACAGCTTATTCATTGGCTCACAAACTTTAGAGGGGTTTACTAAGTAATCCTTGAATGGGAGTTTTAGATGATCTACCAGTTTGTTTTTTTCTTCTCTATAATGATTTTTTTAGAGTCGGCTTCAAAATCAGTTTTACCAAAAATACTAAAAGCACCTCATTTTTTATAATTCTGGGCTAAGCTTTCACTCTTTATCATACAGTGCTTTTTCAGAAAGGTATCTCTACTTATTTTTGGAAGGGGTCACGTTAGCAAGCTGAAATTCGAGATGATAAAATTGATGCATGATTACTATATTCGACCCTAAAAATATCAGTTGAAAATTTCAAGATGGCGGCTGGGACACTACTGGCTGTAGCATGCTCCTAAAATTATAGAATCATTTTCTCCCGCCACAGGGGATAAATCTGAAAACCGGAAGCTTACGTTAAAGATCGTCATTATAGTTTACGAGTAAGTTCCAATATTAGACAGCTATCTTGGACATATCAGTTTCTTTGCGTTCCCGCAAATGAAATCTTCTGCATAAGGCTTGGGGCGCACTACGGCTAAACCGCCTGATTTTGTGAGTAAACTAATGGAAGCGGTCGCACTGACGGTTTTTCCTGCGACTTGTTACAGAATGGCTAGAGGGAAAGAACCGCGCCAAAATTTGTAGTTAGAACAGACATAATGCCAGTAAAAGTTAACCAAATAATAAGAATGAACAATTAATTGAAAATGGGAGGTAAGGGTGGGGGGTTGCTAGACACGTAATATCTGAACGAAAATATAAGTTCATTCACAGGAGGCGGATCCAGTGGGACATTTTGAGGTGGTCCGACTTCTACGAGCGAATGTTCTTATGATCGTGTGACGATGGAAAAACGGGAAGGGGGGAGGGGTTTCCGACTACTGAAAATTGAAGAACGGGAAGACAAGAATTTTCTGCGTATTCACCTTTCCCCAATAATCGTACATCTAGCAACACAGTGTCAAAAGTGTTACGATGGGATGTCGTTGATATAAACGCCATTGTGCTCGTTTCCGTTCCAATAGTAGTTGAAACATTTCTCAGGATGTTTTACTTAAATCTTGATACTTTTTATGAAAGAGACCTTGGACCCAATATTTGGCGAAATTTTTGATGACGTTTTCTTTTTCTGCTTCTTAGTATTAGAGCTACCATACAGCTCCCTTGAAATCAATCTTCAAATTGAAAATCGTGTCCAGTTTCGCGGTTTTTAACCATAGTGTGTGCGTCTAGCGGTTTTGCGTTTTACCGCTTGCGGGAAAAAAACATAGTTCCGCCTAAGCCTTAGGTGACTAAAAGCCAATTATATGGAAGTTGGTCACTTTATACAAGACGTTGTAAGTGCATTTGTTAGCATTACACAAAAATTGGTTGTTTGGTCACGTCTTGCAAAATAAATAACAAATATTACATTTGACACTTAGCTTAAAATATGTTTGCTCTTGAATACTAGGTATCTATGTAGCCTGCGTTTTATAAGTTTATTTGGTAGCAGAACCTGAAAATCTATCAAATGGCGCCTTGGTCAAGTTATGCATAACACAATTGTAACTTTGGAAATCTCACTAACAATCCTTCACAATATATTTTTTTAAATAAGCATTTATTTGTAAAACTTGCAAACTTATTCAAAATGTATGGTTGGAGATAATGGAGGTCTGAAGTTATCTGAGTTAAAGATATAGTAAAGGAACACTCGGTACTGAATACTTTTTATATTAAATTCAATGGGCAACTGGCAATCAAGCCAGAGCCAGCACTCAGAATAAAGTGCTACCTAGAATATACATCCAATCAGCTCACAACAGAATATCAATATCCAAGCCATTGTTTTTCTAGATTCCAGATTATCGCAACTCAGTGATAGTCGCCCGTAATCCTGCAGCAACAGCCAAAGCCACGTCTTACGCTGAACGTCTTCGTTTAGGCATTGCAGTTATTCATGGTGAACAAAAAGAAGCAGAATCAGATGAAGTTGACGGCAGGTAAACCCAACACTAAAGGAACAACGTGTTTCGGCAGGACTATAAATAATTATAAAATAGCATGACTCATATTTTGGCAATATTCGAGTAGAATCATTATTATATAATTTCCTTTATTTTCATCATATGGCATCTTCATTGCCTTCTGTTTGTTACTACCATATCAAAAGGAAAATGAATGTCATCTTTTCACCCAAGCTTTTCTATACAATAAACATATAATTTTTTCTAGGAATTCCCCTCCAATAATACCCCGGAGTCGTACCATGGATGCGGGTGTAGGTGTGCCAGTGCACATAGCTAAAGAAAAACCTCCTATAAATGTAGTTGGTGATGTTGGTGGAAGAATTGCAATTATCGTGGTATGTATTGTGAAAGTTATGAGTATCACTGATAGTATCCCTAGAAACATACTTTTCAACTTTCAGTTGGTGGTTTTCTTCAATCGCAGTATACTTCTCGGACTAACCAACAACAAAAACTAGCATATGGTTACCAAAAAATTGCTAATATTTTGATTGTTGCGAACTTGAGGTTTTATATTTATATTTAAGGGTTTTTCAAATAGCTGACACTGCCCAAAGGTTTTGAATGTTTCAATAACTGTCACTGATAGTGATACCTGCTGATTTATGAACCAGAGACTCGTCCTTGAAGCTGCATATAAACAGTGGTATTTTTACAGGATAATCTCATAGACGATGTGCAGTCATTTGTAGCCGCAGCTGAAGTATTGAAAGAACGTGGAGCATACAAAATCTATGTGATGGCTACACACGGACTCCTTTCCTCTGATGCTCCTAGATTGATTGAGGATTCTCCTATTGATGAGGTAACCTAACTGTTTCTCGTGCTAACTCGAAGTTGTATTCATCGGTAAATGACAGTAAGATCGATCCTGGAGTCAAAGAGGATCGAGAATTTGGAACAATCTACCAGAACACATATCAGCATTTATTTCTGGAGTCACGGCGCTGTGATATACAGGGTGTTTCATAAAGTAGCAATATGCCTATAATTTATCCAACGAACGTACGGAGTAATAAAACAAGTGACAGGGCAGCCCGATTTACACCGCACAACTACCTGCAAAACCGATGCCAGTAGCGTGTAGGTTTTAAAATTAATTGAGGTACAATTTAATTTATTTTCACTGTTTCTCCTACATTTTCATTACTTTCAAGGTGCCATAAGGTTTATTACATTGGTATATTAAATATAACTTATAACTTTACATATTTTTTATGTTACAAAAATAATTTTAATACATAGGAGAAAATAAAGGAAATGGCTCAGAAATTAAATTCTTTCTTAGATTGGATTCTGGATCTTTTTAATATAATACCTAATAATGAATCTACCTGCATTCATTACAAGGTTTATTTCGGCAATCCACAAGTCAAACCAAAACTGATAACGTCAAAATCTTGGACAGAGGGCTCCTTCGAAATTAGCGGTTAGGAGTAACACAGGATTAGGATAACCTACTTTGAAGTCTATCCGGATAGAGCCGTCGAAATAAACATGGTAATTATACAGTATGTTTAGGGATATAGGTCCTTGGTCATTATCCAGTAAATATACAAATTACATTTATTAACTAATCGCTATCACTATCAGTATAACCTGAAGATTCTGAATCGTTTCCTAAGTTAATAATCACTGGTTCAATCACCCTTTCCATACATTGGTCAGTTGTCCACATTTTTTTCTTCCTCCTCAACATGTTCGATTGCTTTTTTCTAATTTTCCGAAGTTACATATTGTACCGCGGTGTAAAAAAGCTGCTTTGCATCTGCGATCTTGAAAGTTGTGTATTTTCTGGAAACTTCGTTTTTAATTTGCGCCCCAATTAACTTGATTGGGTTAAACTCGCAATGCTAAGCAGGCAGCCGTAAAATAGTCCGATGGGTAGAGATTTAGTCATCTCGTCGATGACATACTTGTCAGCACTTTTATTGCCCTTGACCAGATTTAAAAGTTCTGCTTTGACCATATCGTTGTCAAAGGGAACATTATGCCTTCGTAGCCATTCCTCTATTTCCCCTTTTCTGTTTAAACTGTTTGGTGCTTTATCAATACGCCTACTGTGGTATGAAGCATTGTCCATAACAATGACAGCGTTCTCTTCTAGATGGCTCATGATATTTTCAAACCATCCTTCAAATAAATTGGCATTCATATCGGCGTGGTAGTCTCCTGCTTGTTTTGATTCAAATACCAATAGTCCGTCTTCCACGAAGCCATTATCAAATCCGTTGTGTAAGATAATTAGCCGTTTTCTTTTCCCTGAAGAATTTTTTAGTCTTGTGGAAAGGCCTTCCAGGAAGGCTTGCCGAGGATGCTCAACTGATGAATCCACCCATACTTTGCTAACAGTGTGCCCTGCATTGAGCCAAGTCTCGTCTAGGTAGTATATCTTTCTGCCTTCATCTCTATACTTCCAGATTTTGCGTAAGAAATTACGACTCCAACAAAACTAAAAATTACATTAAATCTTTAAATTCGTTAAATCAATGAACCATATTATACGAATAACGAATTTCAGGTGATTCATATTAACAAAATTGCAAATTTAGTCTAGTCATAAAGTATAGATAAAGAATGATAAAAAACAGAAAATAAAACTCTGAACTATTTTTGTGTTTAAAAATTTTACGGATTTTTTTAGTTTTGTATTTTACTTTCAAGGAGAAATAAAAAACAAAATAAGTTTTCTGTCACTTACCAAAAATTAAATTCCTTCATTAATGTACCCAACGTCGATCTTTTGAAGTCTGGCATGTCGACGTCACCGTCTTTTATTGATAAACAAATTTTGTCCAATGTGGGTGGTTCGTTTCGGAAGAAAAATTCGTGGATTTTTCTTCGGATTAATGCCTTCTTGTGAAACGTTGTCCAAAACTACTCTGACTCTATGGTAACCTTTGGGAGGAAAAAGACTGTTGCTTCTTTTGTGCTCTGCCAAAATTTTATATACACTGCTAATTGATGCTCCTGAAAGCAAACTAATTTATTTTGCATATATTATACATACATGCATTAAATAGTTGAAAATAAATTTTAAAAATCAAAATGTGAGCAATAGAAGTAGCTATCATATTAGTGGGCAAGATGTTTAACAGAAAATAACTATTATTTAGAATAATACATCAAACTACAAAACATTTTAAACTATAGTTCAAAGCTAAATCCTCACCTGATGCTCTTGAAACAAGGGCTACAGGTTCTGTCTGAGTTTCAGTTGGATAGCGCTCCCGAGAAGCTTATAAATATATTTATAATAGTTTCTTTTTCAGAAACCGAAAAAGCTCTTTTTGCCCGTTTTCTTGGTAATTGGCCCTATTTTAATAAGGCACTCATGTCGAAATATCCTTTTAAAAGTTGTCTCATAAAAATCAATGAAGCGCACAAAAAAATAATTCAATCGCACGCGACAGACCTTCAGAAATTCTTCTTCGGAAGTGCTATTGTGAACTTGGCGGCTTATCTACCGAAAACGGACCAATAGGAACGAAGTGCGTGCCGGTCAGATGATTTATTATCCGTACGTTCGCTGGATAGATTATAATACGTAAAGTAGATCAAAATATAAACACTAAAAAGTTCGTATACACATGGGTTCTAAAATGCCCCTCTTATCGAGATGCAGGGTGTTGAAATTTTAACGCTGTACTGAAGGTCACCATTGGGGCCGAAACGTATACAATAAAGAAACACATGCAGTTTGATTGGTCAAATACGGGGAATTATCGACATGAAAACCACAGAATAAGTTTCAGTTGTTACATTAATAATTTTAAAATCGAAAAAAAATGATATCTGAATTAAAATTATGTACATGTACTACTGACATGATAACTAATGAAAATGATTAACACACTTTACCTAAAGACAGCCAAACTAATGATATATTCGCAGCCCAAACAATTATCGGAGATAAAATGAGATACCTTAGCGTCATGTATGAGAATTTATCACAACTGTTTCTCTATTTACTACAAAATATACGTTTTGAAAAGATCACTGTCATATATGGCGCAGTCTTATTTGCATATACGTAGTCATGCCATAAGTTCTGTCCCTCGTTTTCAAACAAGTGTAGACCTGTTAATACTTGTCCGATTGTTTACATTGTGGTGTCAGTTGATTAAGCGCTTTTCGGGTAATTACATATACCTCAGTTTGTATTGATCTCTCGAAGCATAACGATGGAGTGGGGCAAGGTAGAGAACCGTATTGCAGTGATAGCTTTACATAAGTGTAATCACAGTGCTAGTCAGATTTTTGAACTCTTACGCGGCCTTCAAATATCGCGTAAATTTGTGTCTAGGACCATTCAGCGGTACAATGAGACGTCCTCTGTTGATGACAGGCCAAGAAGCGGAAGACCTCGTCAAGTAAGGACTCCAGCAGCCATCAAAGCCGTAAAAGCCAGGATTCAAAGGAATCCACTCCGGAAGAAGAAGATCCTATCCAGGGAAATGAAGATTCCTGTCCGGACGATGTCGCGCATCATTAAACAAGACCTAGGGCTAGGGGCTTACCGGAGACGTACGGGCCAGCGACTTACTATCAGAGCGACATACTCGATCCTATCGTCAAGCCTTTAAGTGGTACATTGTTTGCCAACCAACACTGGGTCTACCAGCAGGATTCCGCCCCCGCTCACAAGGCTAAGAGTACGCAGCGCTGGCTGGAAAGCAATGTGCCAGAGTTCATTGCTGCGGAAGATTGGCCGTCAGGGAGTCCGGACCTCAATCCTTTAGACTACAAGTTGTGGGACCTGCTAGAGCAGTTGGCCTGCTCCAAAGCCCACCGTAATATCGAGTCCCTGAAAGCGGATTTGATCCGATCAGCGGCAGCTATTCCTTTGGAAGCTGTGCGTGCAGTGATAGATGAGTGGCCCGCGAGATTGAAGCAGTGTGTGAAGGCCAAGGGGGGACATTTTGAATAAAACTGTTTGATTATGAATTCTAAAAATGTTGTCGAATAAATAATATCTTTCATATAAATATATCTTATCTTGTTTCATTTTTATCATGAGATTATCATGGGACAGAACTTATGGCACGACTACGTACAAGCATTTAGCCATCTATGAAACACTGACATTTTCAAATTAAAAATATACTAGCTGACCCGACAGACGTTGTCTCCTGTCTTCGCTATAAACTGGGATTAATAATGAAAGGGTAAATATATGGAATATTGTATGGCGAAGAGTTTGTACCACCATGTGGATAGCAAAATACGTTGGCAGAACTTGCCATTTCCCCATCAGCTTACCTTGAAAGTAGGCATGAAATTATTTAGACTTTTGTTGCGCCAAATGACGTCATTTGAAAGCACTTATTGTATTGCTGGATATGAGTCAAAACGTGTGTAGAATCTGACCCATTTCCGAAAACAAATGAATGTAGTGGCTCGGGTGATGGTAGCAATGGAGTCAATCTGACTTTTTCACTGGCGCAAAATAATACAGGTGCTTCATTTTTAAACTTGAAAGCCTTGCAATGTGGACAAACAAAGTTCATTGGTCCAATAGCAACGATTTGTTGTAAACTGTAATCGATTGCCACGTCATAATGGAATGCAACTCGATTGGGATTAAATGCGACACTTCTATGTGGTTGAATTTCAGTCCTTCGATCTCGTTCAACTTCATTTCTCGCTTCTTGTTGCTCGTCAGTTTGACTTCTTCGTATATATCTTTGACTCGCAGCATTGCAAGTTCTGCGGCCTAGGTAATTTGTGGCAGTTTGAAGAATCACAATTTTAATATAAGGCGTAATTGCATTGAACTAACTTCCACCCTTATTAATTATTTTT